TGAAAATTGCCTGTTGATAAGGAATGCCATTATCATCATCTTCAGGAACTGCTCTTCTTAAGTGTATCAATGAACCTTTGCTGTATGAAATCGTTGCTGGAGATGTAGTCAAGAAAATCTTTGAAACTAAACTCTCCATATGAAGCTGTATTGCTCTCGTTGAGGAGCTCTGTTGCTGGAGATATCTTCTTGTGCAAAGGTAGACTGTGAAGGCTTGCAAAAGATAGCCGCTTGACATCTTTGTTCACTGTTACACGATGTATCACGCTCTTGTATATGCCGTTGCTCATCACCTCGACCTGATCTCCCAACTGAACTATCAGAGCTCCTTCGATATAAGGCACACAAACCCAGTTTTTGTTGCAATCCATTATCTGAAGTCCCTGGCTACTTTGAAGTAAGATGGTCAGTGATCCGAAGTCTGAGTGTGGTGGCATTCCCAAGGCGAGTTCAGGTTCCGGACATGCTGGATAACAGTTCACTGCCATGACTTGTGAGCCTTCTTCAGTCTCTTCTTGTAAGTAACTTCTCTCCAGTCCTAGGCTTTCTGAGATAGCTTCTATTAGTTGTCTATGTAGCACATGCGTTGCCTCTGCATACTTGCCCACTTTATCCCTGAAAAGGAAGGCGAATATTAGAAAAATCTCATCAGTGATTGGTTACAAATTTAGAAAGCTCTTTCATACGGTCTTTCCAAAGTTGTGTATATTGAGATGATGAAGCTGGACTAACTTGTAGCATGGAGGATTTGATGGCCACATATCGATCCATTTTGGTAGAGGATGAGAGTAATGCTTAATGAAATCTCTCCAGTAATGAACTCTGTCTGTTGAATGGTTGATGCTTGTCCCATATCTTACTGGCTCATGAACATTTGCAGACACCAGAAGCATCTTCTCCTCCACAGGTAAGTCAAAGAACTGTGTTGCTGCATCTAAGGCATCTTTAACCACTGATGATGGTATCCCATGGTTTATAACCTGTAGGGGAGTAAAAATTTGGGCTTTATCTCTTAGTTTTGTAAAGAATAAGAAGACTTGTAAGAAGGGAAAACATGCATGCATGCAATTTGTGTTCTCATTTAAGACTCAGATTGAGGATTTTGTCTTTTCTTTTCCTTTTTCCCCTGATTAGAGACTTTTGTTCCGTATGACATAAATGCAAGAAGACAATAACCGTCTTTGTAAGTCTTATCGGAAGTGTGATTGGTAGATGCGATAAGTTCACTCAAGGGCTAGTTCTAGTGACTAAGCATGGAAACATGTAGACAAAATGTTGATGAAAGTGAGGCATGATTTTGCATGAAAACATATATAAAATGTCATACGTGCTGGATTACTTATTACATGTGAGTATTACCTGAAAGAAACCAAATTCCTTGCAGGCCATGTTGATCTCATGGATTGCGCGGGATCGAAGTAAAGGTTGGTGTAAAAGAGAGAGATCAATGACAGGAAGTGTTGTCTCTCTGGTGCTTGTGCTTGAACCAAGAGCTGGCCTTTGCGATGGCGGAAGAACGTAACGATCAGGAACTTGAGGCACACCGGAATTGTTAAGTGTCATTGCACTTGTAAAAGATTCAGCAAGCAAGCTCTGTTCTGTTTCCTCCATTCTCTCTTTTTTTTTTTTTTTGGGTTTGCCTAGAAATGAAAAAGATGTGGTAGTAATCTCAGATTCCGTTTAGTTATTATTACAACTACCTTGACTTACTAAAGAGTATGCAACATGCACAGCTTATATTTATACATACATGTATATACGGTTAAAATGTTCTAGAAGATAATTTTATTAATTATCCATTTAAAGTCAGCATTTTTCATTTATATTTCCTCGTTTGCTTACGGTTTTGGAAACCACCTGCTGCTTCTATGACCATGTTTTTACATTAAATGAAGTGAGAGATGAGATATTCTCTTGATGTGAAAATGCTTAAGTGTACTCCTTCATGAAGTATCTATAGAGATGTGACTAGGTTGCATCCCTTTTTTGCTTTATGCATTTGTTTACACCTTTACAGATCGGTGACGACCTTAGCAAAATCGTTTATATAAAAAAAAAATTTCAGGGGCAAAATCGTCCTTTTCAAGTGGATCAGGCTTCTTTCTAACGTCTTCTGTGGATTTACCGCCATTAGGATATTTTGGTTTGAATTTTCTAAAAAGATAAATTAAGCAACAATTTTGTGTATGTGTGTGTGTGTGGGTGTTGACGTCATTAATGAGGTTGTATATCGGCCGAGGTTCATGGACCAGCACTAAATATGATGTTGTATATTATTATTTTAATACAGATAATTAATATAATGGTTTCAAAAGCAATTAAAAGAATGGTTTTGAAAGCGGTATTGAGATTACATGCATGTCAAAATGTATCTGTACAAGTTCTGTGACTTGGTTTTTTCCTCAGCTCGAAGGAAATATTAGCAAACAAACATTCGTAAGTTGCGTTCCTTTAGCGTTAGAAGAGAGAGAAAATACTAGTGACATCATAAATTTTGGGCTATAATTGTATTATTAGATTTGGCCCAATTCTATCTATTGGGTTTATACTTTATAGAATGGAACCGAATAAACCGGTTAGAAAAAGACACATTCGGTTCAATTCGAAAGAAAATACATACACGCATTGCAATTCTAACCAGATAATGTATCAGGAATCCCCTACTTATCTACAGTTTGCTCAAGCGCTTAATATATGATCTTGGCGTCTCCTATGAAGTTGACACCTTATTAATTCTCTATCGAAAACTGCTCTACTTTATCTTCCACATATAAGTCCTAACACTATATCAGATGAGTCTGACTATTTCTTTCGGTTTCATGTTTCGGCGTTAATAAGCCTAGATATGTGTATTTAATTGTGGGCTGAAGAAGAGTAATGGGTCCAAATCTATGATTACGCGATTGGAACTTGGAACTTAACATTGTGACGGATGTAAGTTATACTAGGAAGCTGCTTGTATATATGGGTAATCAAAAGAGGATTATGATTTTTTTGGATTTGCCACGACTTTTACCGAGTCAGTCAACTAAACTTTTTTTTCCTTGTCTTTCTTGTTTCTTTTTTTTTTTTTTTTTTTTTGTAATCCCTTTCGTTGACGTGCATAGCTTAACAAATGTACAATGAATCTGTCGTGAAAATACTGTATCTGGAAAAGAAGACTATGTCTCTTTTTTTTGTTTGAAGATATTAGCAGAGCATGTTTCTAAAAAATGATTATGAGCTAGCTTGACAAAAAAAGAGTTATTTTACCTGGTCATTCTATCCAAAAACACATTGGATTCATCCAATTTCACTAGGTTATAACATATAACTTTATCATTTAGAAAATTAAAAAAGTATTATGGAATTTTATCATGACAGATTGACAGTATAGGTAAGATTCTTTTATTATCTAAAAATAGATGTCAGACATTTTTGTTATTTTTGTAGTTCCTCCGTTCCTTTTAAATTTGAAGGTAAAGGAGGACATGATAATAATTAATAACCCTCAAATCCCACCATGGCACGCTCAGACATCCTCTAGAAGCCCCCTCTCTAACTCAACACTTTAAAAAAAAAAAAAAAACTATCCATCTTTTTAATCAATCTCCTTTTTTCATTTGACATTACCATCAATCTCCTAAATAATAATTTTCTTTTATCGGTCTCATAATAACATTTGTTTTGGTCAGAGAAATTCTAGGTAATACATAGTGATTATACTATATAGTTTTTGTCTATCATTGACCATTTCGCTTTTATGAGTTACTTTCAAATTTGTTTTGGTTTCGTATGTATCCATCTTTTTAGAAGAAAAAAGAAAGAAAGAAACTTTCGAATATAGTAAAGATTTGTTTCACCTAACACCACACCCATCTTTGATTATTGACGAATATATTAAAATAGCCTTAGAACGTGTTAGGCATCTTCCTCTTATTACTAATTCCCGCGTTTTATTACATTTATAGAATAGTTAGGATGTCATTTCGAATAGATGTTCATCTTTTCTTCTGTATAACTTCTGACCCATAAATTGGACCAAGAATTTTTTTAATAAAAAAGCAAAAGAATCTGACTCAATGACTTCAACGATGTCTTCCAAACTGAAGAACTGTTGAATAATGAACTTAGTCAATGGTCAACACCTTGCTAAATGCTTCTAAACAACCTTCTATTGATACAATAATGAAATTTAGTACACAAAAGCTTTCACGTCTTTTTTTGTGATTTAACGAATAAGTTTAAAAAGGAGTTAGTTGCATTGATAAAGTCTTGTTCAACGTCCAAAACTCCATTCATACAAACGAAACCCCATAAAATAAGAAGATGAAAATATTGGGTGATCTTAAAGATATATAAACAAAAAATATATAAACAAAAAAGAATACTACATGAACTCATACGTTTTGAAACAGATTGTATAAAATACACAAGACCTTCTTGTGATAAATTTTCAATAATTTTAAATAAAATTGTCCATAGTAATTCCTAGTAATAATAAATTATTCTTCGATACTCTGTTTCTAACTTTTAAGGCATTAGATTATATTCTCTTTAGCTTGTCTTTTGCTTCATTTTTAAGAAAAATCTTGGGGATATGCATATTCTTTAGTATCTTTATTAAGTAATAAATACAATAGTTTTACTTTGTCAACTATATAATAAATACAATAGTTATGATATACATAATTTGCATATTAACAAACCCATGTTCTCAGCACACTTTTAGGTGAAAAACATAAAAAAACAAATAGGAAGAAGCCAGTCAGTCGTTATGGTGATGGGTTCATATATATAATTTACATCAAAGAAAGTCATTGAAGAATTCGATTAATTATCCATTCCTTTATTTTTTTGTTTGAATGTATATGAACAAATAGTTGGGACGCATCATGACAATGTCTTAGAAAACAAAGAAATGAATAAAAATCAAGTGAAAAATAAAAAAAAGAAAGGATGAAGTTGTTGAATGAGTTGGCGAGGCGGCGACTTTTTCATACATTCCCTTTACTTGATTTTCCCCATAGTCCTCCTCACATATCACTTTGTTATATAATAACCACCATAACCATTTCTTCTCCTCACAATCTTTACAATAATATCTCTCTTCCAAACAAAAATGGCAATGAATGGTTCATTAAAGATGGCTGCAACCGCTCTTCTCCTAGTCCTGGCCATTGTCCCAGCCGCGCTCGCTGTGACGCACACGGTCGGAGACGCTTCTCAATGGGCCAGTGGTGTGGACTACGCAGATTGGGTTAAAGGAAAGACTTTCAGGGTTGGTGACACTCTAGGTAAACCATCATCAAGTTATAACTTCTATATGTAGATTCAAGCTATGGTAAAATCTAGTAACTCAACTGAACTAAAATCTAGCTTGATACGGAATTAGTTTTGTTTTTTGGTTCCAGTCTCTTGAACATAGAGAAAGTATAATTGTTAATTTGTTTCTTCTATGTACAATTTGTTCTACGCTTATTTGGTTCAGTTTGATTTCGGTTCGGTTTATCCACATTTAAGACTCTTAGGTTTCTCATAATGAGATGAGAACTTTTTAACAAAAAGAGATGAGAATATGAGAACTTAATCCACAAGAAAATTCTATTCTTCAGGGAAAAAACTCTGTACTTAGGTTTTGATTTTTTCAATGGCGGTTTTGAAACAGAGTTCAAGTATGGTGCCTCACACTCGGTGGATGTGGTTGACAAAGCCGGATATGATGGCTGCGACGGCTCCTCCGCGTCTGAGAAACATTCCGACGGAGACACCGATATTGAACTCAAGACAGTTGGACCAAAATACTTCATCTGCCCTACACCTGGTCACTGTCAAGCTGGCATGAAGCTAGAAGTTACTGTTGTAGCCGCCTCTTCCGGAACTCCAAGCGCCCCTACGCCGCCGTCTTCAACTCCGGCCACTCCTTCAACCCCAGACTCACCACCGGCTGCTGGAACTCCGGGCACACCCACACCGGCTTCAGGGTCTACTTCTCCTCCTCCACCGGCAGGTGGTGCCTCTAAGGGAATGATGAGCTACGTTTTGGTCGGAGTGTCGATGGTGTTGGGTTATGGTTTGTGGATGTAGAGAGCCAGGGTGGAGTCAGTGCTTTTGCTTTTGATCTATTTGGTTTTGGTTTCGACTTTGTTAAGAGAATTTGGGTGTGTTTGCCACGTCATCAGCTCGTATCATTAGGATTATATTATTTGGCATTATCACATTCACTTTTTTTTTCCTTGTTGTAATAAATTATTCTTATTTTCCATTTTCCTTTTCCGTCCGTGTGGAACCACTCCATCATTCGTTATCATATGTTCTCTCTTCTCCATGTCTATACCATTACTATTTTTTATTTTTTGGACTCACATGGACAGCTCTTCTTCACCACCCCCTCGTATTAAACATGGCTATTGTGTTAATCTATTAATATTATATCTGAATCAACAACAACTAAGAGGAATTATTAATTCCTAGCTTAATGGAAGATGATTGTTAATTAACAATGCTCTTTTGAATGGTGGTTGTTGATGGTATATGAGATCACATTAAGAAATGCAACTTGGCATTATTCGTAGTATTCGATTAGCTGCAACTGTAAAATTTAAGACGCCAGATATATATAGGTAAAATTAAGGTTTTTGTATCTATAAAAAATAAATAATATATTAATGCCACAAAGCCAGAGAAAGAGTCATGGCAACTGGCAAGATTATTATGTGTAGTGGAGTCACGATCGAATATGATTGGTAAAAAATATATATAGAACCGTGCACTAGTCAATTACAAATTTAAACTAAACGTGAATGAGAAAAGATGTGCAAAACACAAACCAGAAGGCAATGGTAATGGAGTGTTGACCCTCACAAAGGACATAGCCCAAATAATTGTGAAGCGGCGACTTCTTCATATAATGCGTTAAACTTAATTTCACCTTAGTCGTTCTCTCATGCCTCTTGTTATATACATATAATTACTCTCGAAATTTAAGCCAAAACATGGCGATGAATGGTTTGTCCAAGATGGCTGTAGCCGCTCTGCTCCTAGTCCTGACCATTGTAATGTGGGTGAGGCAGCAGGATGGGTTAGTGGTGTGGACTACACAACTTGGGTTAGTGGAAAGACTCTCAGGGTTGGTGACAGTCTAGGTAAATTTTTATTCGTTTCTTATGTCTTTAAGTATAGGCTCAAAATAAAAGGTTTTGTGAATTTCATGTTTAGCATACATGATTTTTAATGAAATTATGGTCGATATTTTTCAGTTCATATTAGAATTTGAATGAAAATATTCTACTTATTCTACTTGTTGAAGGCGTTTCTAAAGGAATAATTTTTAATGTTTTTTATGAACTACTATCCAAAGTAAACAGATCCATCGGAAATGACCGTTATGAGGTAGGTTAAATCGAGATAACGTACTGCACAAGAAAACTCTCTACTTAGGTTTTGTTTGTGAAAGTGCTAATGTATTCTTTTACCACCTACGGATTACGGTTGAAACAGAGTTCAAGTATGGTTCTACACACTCAGGGGAAGAGGCGAGCAAAGCCGGGTACGATAGTTGTGGTGGAGGCATAGCGACCAAATAGTCATTCTGGTGGAGACACCAAAATCGATCTTGAGACAGTAGGAACAATATGTATTTCCTCTGCCCTACGTACCTGGTCACTGCATCAATGGCATGAAGCTAGCCATGAGCCGGGCTTCTACTCAGGCCCGGCTCTGCTCCCACCCCAGGTTCGCCGCAGTCTGATGGAACACACATAGCCGGGTCAAACAATCCGTCCATCAAGTGCTGTATCTAACGGACTAATGAGCTACGTGGTGGTCAGGTTTTGGCTTGCAATGTGTGGATAATGGGTTAGAGCCAGTTGGGAAGCAGTGATTCTGCGTTTGCTTGAAAGAGAATTGGTGTGTAAGCCACCTCAGCTATCTTTCTTTCTTTTTTTCTTTTTCTTTCATAGGATAGATTTATTTACCATTTATCCTCATCTCTCCGTCCGTGTGGCTGTGGCAGCAGCCGATTGTAAGTGCATCTCGCATGTTCTTATCTGTATAATCTACATTATATATATATATATATATATTTACCCATTTTCACTTCTCTATTATATACCCCTTCGCCATGATTATTACGTTGGGTAGTTATTTGAGTTGTTTTTGAAAAGTAAAAAAAAATTAAGTGAGTGTAATCATCTCTATTTTTTTTAGTGACAGCTAATCAGATTTTTAATGATCGCTACTGATTAATACTCCTTTAAAGAAAATATTGCTAGCAATCTTTATTTAAAAGATAGGTGAGAAAAAGTCTTGGGTCTACATAGAAAATTCAATTAGCCATCATAGATTATTATATCACGATTGATTGTAAGCTTGTACATCTAATATTTCATAAATTTGTTGTTCTTGTTGAATAAATCGTGAAGCCGTTCTCTGTTATCCGCGCACAATATTCACAGGCTATCAACAATCTAAGCAAATTGTTTAAAGACTAACAAATGGAAGCTTTAAAACTTTGTAAGAAAAGTCCTTGACGGGTGACTGCTTTTGAATTTGGAGGTAAACCAAACCAACTGATTTATTATCCCCACACACTGACAACATTACCCAATCGTCATAGCATCAATCAACACACACATTTACTTTAAAAAAAAAACTCAGCAGTTGTTAGAAAACAGACCCATTTTAGCCTACACATTCCTTTCAACCAAAACCCAACCCCACCACCAACCTAACTGAGATATATCCCAACCTTTCTCTCTCTCTCTCTCCCTCTTCTTCTTGATTTAATATAACAAACAACAACTCGGTGTTGGAGTTGTTTCTTAGAGCCAACCAACAAACGGTACAAGATAAGGTCAAAGAAGAGGCAGGAGGGAAAGCGTTGAAGATGAAAAGTGAAGAGCGAGCAGAGCAACCTTTGTGTTAGAAACTCTTCTTCTTACTATTTTACTATCGTAAGGCTATTGAGAGAGAAGAGCATACGAGGGCAGGTCTTCAAGATGCGTTATGTCTTCCAGCATTAGCTCTCTCTCCAGCTGTCTCCTTGTCGATTTCATCACCGTCTGTGTCATCCAAATATTCACATGAACATGACATGACCAAACACAATTTCTCTGTTTGTTTACTTTTTTATTCACGACAATATACATATGGCATTGGTTAGAGAAAGCAACTACTACTTACGTTGAACTCCATGTACGAGGCGCGCATTGAAAGCCATTGCTGATCCATTAACTTGAATGCAATGCAATAAAGAAGGTCAAATGCAGATTCGTTCTCTGCTTACACCAGAAACACCCAAAAAAAACCCAAACACAATTATCTGTCTCAGTCAAATTCAATTAAATCATCATATGTGCAAAAAGGGGCTTTGTTTTCAATTTCAGTGAATTGTTATGGAGAAAAGAAAACAGCATAGTTTGAGAGCTTACCAGAGAGGAACTTCAGAAAAGTTGCTCCAACAATCGTTCGAGGTTTAACTGTAAATTTTTCAAAGGTTATATTGTTAGTGACCCCTGATAATCTCAAGACGGTACTGATGACAGTAATACTTATCACAATCACAGTAGGTAAGTAGATTCGTGCGGATGTATACCTGCTTCAAGGTCAAGCATCTGGATAAGCATGAATGTTATATTGATACCAGCAACAGCAAAAGGGTATTCCCACACCGACCGATCCCCAACCTGCTTCCTCAGAAGGTCCTGGAAGGATTTCTGCAGCATTCAGAACCAAGTGAGAAAACTGTAAAACAATCTTATTACCTGGAACAAATAAATAAAGGGAAAGTTATTAAGGAAAACTAGTCCATTCTTTTTCTGAAACGTTGGCATATGAAGCATAGGTATACCTGAAAGTTCCTAGCGAAGTACAGCAAGTTTTCAAGAGATATGAAACCACCACCCCTGACAGTTGCTGCACCGTAAGTCAAAGAGGATGGAACCAAGAAATATAAAACAAATGGCGAGGAAAGTCAGTGTTGCACCTAAAATCTGTTGACGGATCTTTGCCTTGCCAACCCATCTCTTTCCATTGCTCAGATATTAATCCATGAAGCTCTTCTTCAGGAAAGGCAAGTTTCCACAGATCCCTTAGAGCTTCCTAAGAGCGTTTGGAGAAGCGAAAAAGTAATCACCAAAGCATGCAATAAGAAACCAAGTCATGAACAACTGTAGTATTCTACCATCTACAGTTAATGGCTCAAGTCCGTCAATATTCTATGAAAAACTTTAACAGCTTATTAATCCTCAAGTAAAGTGTACCTGGTGCAGAGGTATTGTGCTGTCATATGCTACATCAATACGGTTCTGCAAGCTCTGCAAGCATTCCTCCTGCAAGTTCCAACAACGGGGTAAAAGTTATTGGCAACTTGGATACACTTACAAGTACCAACACAAGAATCCAGTTTCAAACAACAAAACAGAGGAAAAATGAGTACCTGAGCAGGTGTTAGATCAAAGGTAGAATGTGCGTCACTATCTCTTCGCTGAGCACAAACACAGGAAAGACCCCGGCCTAACCAAGCTGCTGATCCAGGCACACCCTCAGCTATAACAAAACAAATAAACTCCAATGTTTTCAGCAGAGGAATACTAGCTGCTTATTTGAGATACTGGGTAGGTAAACACCTTTTCGATTCACAGATTTAAAGATGTAGTTATGATGTTTAAGGACACTGATGTAATGTCTCAATAATACGAGAAAGCAAGCTACTCTAAATCTCTAATACACACAGCTCCCTACAAATACATCAGAATTCTACAAAACCACCCACACACACACACACACACAAAAGGTTTTAGAAAAATATAAAACGAGACTCTGCCATGTACTAAGTTTTAATTAACACAATGCTCCTTGACAACAAACTGTAATGTTAACTAAAGATGAAAGATAAAGGCATCTAATTAGAGCATTACTACTTTCACCCTAGAAACAAGCTAAAAACATCCATAGCAGAGAGTCCAGAAACCAAGCAATGCATTTACTATGCGCAAATGGAGAGTATATCAGAAATAGACAAAGATCTGCGACACATAATTTCACAGAAAACAAACACAAAACAAAGTGCAACTGCTACCGTAGAGAGAGATATGCGATTCTGAGACTGAGAGGTGTAGACGCGTTTATCTCTACGAAAAAGCTTGTGATGAAATTACCAGATGAGGAATTGTAAACGCTTCCCCGCTCGAGACCCTGAGAAATCCGCCTCACGGCTACGAACGAGCCTTCTCTATCATCCATCTCCAAATTCTCTTTTCGCTCCTTGGATTTACCTCAGAATCTCCATCTATTGTATCATCCTGCGACAGTCAAATGCAGAACCAAATTAACACTCATCAGCAGTAGAATCCGGAAATCTCATCGGATAAAACTTTCGGAACCTGATCAAATACAGACGCAATGCGAATCACAGAAACGAACAATTGATATAGCGAGCTTGAACAAATGAAAAGAATAGAAAGAAGAATTCAATCACCGTCGGGAACGAGAATCAATCAATCGAATCAAAAGACCGATCAACCTCCAAAATGGTTCTAGAATCCTCAAGGAAACAGAGAGAGAGAGAATCTTGAGCGCGACGAGGAAGAGTTTTTTTCAAAAACCAAAAAAAGCAAGAAATCAACTATGGTTTCAAGATCTACTAAGTGCCGCCGGATTTCGGCGATTGAGAGAATCGAACGGCGTAATCAAGCGGAATGCGAAGAAAAGGAAAAAAAAAAATCTCGCATAAATTTTTGCAGTTTCTTTCTAAAAATTTCATTATTTTGGGGGGTTAAAATAGAAATGAGATATTTATAGTGACGTCATTTTATCGACGGGCAGGCCTGGGAGACAGGTGGCAATTAGGCTGGAGGACCCCGCGCGTGTACTCCAGTCGCCATCGGCCTTTATCTCATAAATCATACCGGAGAAAAGCGACTCGTGTTAGGTCATGCCGCATTGGTTAATAAATTTGGCACTCATGTCAAACGTCAACGACTTTATTCATTTGTTTGTAATTTTTAATCCTTTTTTTTTGGTTAATTTTTTTTTGTTTTAATAATCCCTTTTTTTGTTTTTTTTTTAGATAGAACATAATCCCTTTTTTTTCGTAATTATATGGTGGAACAAGAGAATTGATAGTCTGTTTTTCTTTTAGCGGTTACATAATTTCTATATAAAAGAAGTGAGCTCGACTCTCTAATTTTCTGTTAAACTGTTCTTTCGTTTTATCTAATATTCCATCATACAACAAAATCAATATACTACATAGTTGCTCTTTTCTGGGTCAGAAATTTGTTCTTGTTGCAGCAAATGTGAAATGTGTTGATGTTGTTGCAACAAATTTGTAATAGTGTAATTGTTATTTACTTTTGCATAAGCTTGGGAGGACGAACGAATGAACTGTTGATATATACAAAGATTACTTTACATGTCATGTATTTTTCTGAGTTGAAAAACAAAATACACGTAAATGCCATCACAGAATACACGTAAATGCCATCACAGAGATGATCGGCGACAATTGCAAGAGGCATGGGCCATGTTTTGATGAGCGCAGTTTAACTAAAGCCGGTCTGCGTGTAATTACTCTGTTTATTTGTTTTGGTCCACAAGAGTATAAATCAATCATCAACATGTGACATGTCTATATGGGGATCTTTTAAATTCAAAAGGAACTCTTAGAAGATGTGAATTACGTTTAAACCAAGAAAATTCACAAGTTAAAAACTAAAAAATAAAATTATTCACAAGTTATTTGATGTAGCGTTTATAGAGCTTGTGGTACGTGTGCATATGTAATCTAGTCCATGTAATTTAGTGTGACTGGCAGTCGATCAAGACTGTCCACTACCATCTGCACTATGCAAACTTTGTGCCAGCACATCACTGACACTCAATACTCTTTTTCACAACATTCTTTTCCCTATCCAACCAAATATAATTTTCTATTCAATTGGTTACTTGAATTCTACTATATCTGTATTTCATAGTTTCTACACTGAAAATTTAGATTCCACCATATGAAAATAGCTTTTTGTGATATTTTTACAAGTGAGATCCGTTGTCCACATATATAAACAATACAAATTAGAATGAGCGGGACTGAATATTAACGATTGTTATCTAAAGCTCTTTTAGTTGTGCTAAAAAATGTTCATAGATCCCAAAGAAAGTATGCATATCTTATACCTACAAAAAGCGATCATCCTTTCATGTGCTTGGAAAGAAGCATGAACATAAATAATTTCGACCCCTTTACTTGAACTCAAAGTAATAGCTGCAAGCTTTTCTATGTACGGGTATTATCAAGTATAGAAATGGGTGGATTTTATAACTACAGTATATGCCCTTCAATTATCAGTTGTCTTTGACAGTCTTTGTTTGCCTGCTGTATTTTTATATTCTACCAAAATCTAATGAAAATAACTGGTAATCCAGCCCTTTTTAGTGATTTTAACCAGTGCTACCGGTTATACTATTACTAACTAATTATGTAAAATTAATTGTTTATATTTTGTTGAGTCACCCATAAATGATCAAAAACTAGTTTCAGACCTAATGGGGAAATGACTAAATCTAGTGATATAAAATGTGACAGATAAAACTATAAGAATATTGTTCTTTGATTTAGAAATAAAAAAAACAAGTTGAATTGAGTTGTCAACGGACTGCAAAACCAATCTTGATCTCAATCAGTATCGGTTGTTTCCTATTTTATATTATCATCATTATATTGTCGAAAGAACAATAAGTAAATATAAAACTAGTAAGCTATGGAGACCCAACGGATACAACCGTCGCACCAGTTGGAATATATATCTTCTTCTGATTCTCAATTTACCTTGAGATTTGGTCAAAGCTCAGTTTATGGCCTTCATGTATGTTTTTTCCTGCTGTCAATTTCACCGCATCCATATATATATGATAATCTAAGATTGTTATTTATTTCGTTTTGATGTTTATTTTATTACTTACTTTCGCTTTACGCAAAAATAAAGAAAACATACTTTCCGATGACCCTTGTCCAGTCATGCTTCATTCGCTAATGCATCATTCAAAGTTTTCAGAATATATTAGAAAATTAAACCATCAATCGAAAATTTCGTCGTAATGTTTAGTGTTTCAATGTTTTGGTCTCCATAATGCACGTTTTCTTAGCCCTTAAACTTTAAAAAATGCTCGTTTTCTTACAACCATTATTCACGTATATGAATTAATATTAATACACGAAAATATATTAACATTGTTTAAAATTGAAGACTGGAAAGGTCATTATTAGACCTTTTAAGCTATTAATAAAAAGAAAGAAACCTACTTTTAACTCCTCGTGGTCCATTTACTATGTCGGCCTTAAAGGAGACGTCGATAACCAGTAACCTTTCTAGCCAATCACAGTTTAGTTCGGAAACATTAAAAAAAAAAAAACAAATAAATAGAAAACATGCTATGGTGATATTTTATTTTTCCATAAATTTGGATTAGTTTGGGCTCAGATATTTAATAGTGGGCCTAGACTTGTAGTAACGGCCCATTAATTATCATTCATGTTTCAACGCGATTGTTGTAGATTTGTAAAAAAAGATATTTGAAGTCACTTCGCTTAATTCTTATCATCTGGTATATGATTCTCTAGAAGAAGAAGAAGAAGATGCAAACGCCACTTTTCAATCTCTGCAAAAGCCTCACTTCTTCTCTACCTTCATGCCATAACCACAATCAATGCTTTGGGTTTCACAATGCTCTTTTAGTACCTTCCATCTGCGATTTCCGGCGACCCAACGATGGCGACGGGAGAAGAATCGTCGCGCAGAGCTACAATCCAAACGACGGAAACAGCCGTCCGGGAAACAAAGGGAAAGCGACTCTGAAGGGAAACAAAGAGAATATATGGAGCGTTGATAACGAGATGGCGGAGAAGGAGAAGCGTAAGGGGAAGCCAAAAGGAAGGAGAAGAGGGAAGAGAGTAGCTGGAGGAAGGAAGGGTAAATATGGTAGGATTTTGGTTTCAGGGACGATGTTAATCGAGAGTGAGACTGTTCTTCAAACCCAGGTTTCGATCTACGTCTATTCAATTTCTCAAATTCGTCGATGATCGATGCTTTCGTCTTTAGCGATTCTAATCGGAATCTGTGAAATTAGGAACCTGTGATAAAGCCAGTTTGGAGAACGTTTGCGAGCAGTGTAAGTGGGATATGGAAAGGTGTAGGAGCTGTGTTCTCGCCAATAACAGCAGAGATGGAGCCGATCGAAATCGGGAAGAAGAACGAGAATCTTTATGATTGCTATACTCTTTCTCGGATCGAAGCGTTGCCATCTCCTTCATCATCTGAGATACAGAGGAAAATCAATTGGGTTACTTTGAATCCTCATGGAGAGTTGTTCCAGAATACTGAGATCAAAGAGGACATATCGGTTGACCAGACTGGTGTAGATAGTCGTTTGCCTAAGTTCGAATCTTTTAACTTGAAAGCAAGTGATGTCATGGAAGAGGATTCCATGGGAGACGAGCCTGGCCTCGTTTACTTTGAGGTATGGCTCAGTGTTCTAGTTCTGGATTTCTTGGAATCCTTGTTTGATCCTCTTTTACAATTTGTTGAAGCTAATGGATGTTGTTAATTGTCTTTGTAGTGGTTGAAGCATCGATTTTTGTGCAATGTCTAGCTTTCATTCCTTGATGTTTTCATTTGCTTGATACACAGGATGGATCCTATTCCAGAGGTCCAGTTACAATCCCTGTTGGGGAGATCAGTGAATCAAACTATTACCTCACACCGACTTTCAAGTTTGAGCAGGTAGGCTTATTTTTGCCGCTCTGTTAATATATCAAGTTTGGTCCTTTTCCACATTTTAAGAGAAAAGAAATGGCATCATTGCTCTTTCTTCTCGGCCAGTGTCTGGTGAAGGGTTGCCATAAGAGACTGAGAGTAGTCCACACCATAGAATTTGCCAATGGTGGTGCAGATATACAGATAATGAGAGTTGGTGTATATGAAGAACAGTGGGTTAGTCCTTCGAATTATGAAGACCAAAGGTAACTCCGACCTATGTGATTTATCAATCTCTATGGTATGTCACTGTCTCTGACCCTAGCGATTCATGTATGTCTCAGTGACAACGATGCGCCACTGGAGTTAAAACCATTCTCACAGAGGAAACGCACGCAACCATCAGAACTAACAGGATCGTGGAAAGTATTTGAAGTAAGTGCAACCCCAATCTATGGAGAAGAAGACGGAATGGAGCTGTTAGGTGAAAGCAGTGAAACCACTCCATACGTGTACCTGTGCACAGAAGCTCTGAACAGAAGAAACTTACCGGAAAGTTCGGCTTCATTTGGAGAGGAAGAGATGATAGATATGCAAGATGTGTCGGTGATGTGGCTCCCAGGTGGTGTGACTGCTTACGTGGATGTGAAGAAAGATGGAGTCTTGTGCGTCGGAGTTGGATGGTATTCAGATGAAGGGATCAATCTTGTGATGGAGAGGGATTATGGTTTGGATGGGAATCTTAAAGAAGTTAGATCTAAATCTGAAGTGAAGAGACGATGGACAGAAGAACCTAAGTAAAACTCTCTCTGTTCTATGACTTTCCTCTGTTTCAGATTGATGTTTAATCGTGTAAGTACATGTGATACAGTACGAGGAATGATATAGAGCTAGATTCTAGATTTCGTAATAACCTGCATATTATGATCATTGGAACCACACGCTCATTTCCAATCCCTAACCAACCAAAGGAACTTTCATTTTCGAAATTTTGGAGATTATTTTGATATTATGTAAGTATATCTAAAAGTGGTAATGAAAGTTTACTTCTTTTTTTAACTGTTAACTTATCTTCTAGACTACAAGTTAGACTAATATCGGTATGTACAGTACTATGAAAAGTTGAAAACTGATATGTACTATTAAACTTCGTATGGAAAGAGTGGATTATGTGAATATATCTATACAACAACTTAGTTATTGTTGGGTTATAATACCAAGGCCCAAGGGAAAGACATAGGCTTAACAGTTCCACTTGAATTTCAAATATGTAAGTAGAAAAGAGGAAGCAAAGAAGAGAAAAAGAAACACTGAGGGGGGGAGACAAAGTGGGCACCTACAAGAGAGGAAAAAGAAGAGAAGAAGAGATGCCGTAGAAATCTCACCATCATTAAATTTGGAAAAATTCCTTACGGATTTGATTGAAACGTGTAATCATTGTTGCATGGAATTCATCCCCTATTATATAACCTTTAATATTCCCTTCTTTGTCTCTTTGTCTCTTTGCTTAAACCTATGACCTTACACTTAACTAATGTCCTAGCTCCTTTCATTTGCATCTTTTGATTCTTCCAAATGTAATTTGCATTTACATGTTACAAACAATTATGTTTGGTTACATTTGATGCAAGATATATTATGAATTTTTGTTTTTATTAAATCATTTGCAAGATGTAAACGTTTTGATTATTTTGTATTTACAATTTGCAAATTACTTTGATAAAAAAGAATTAAAATGTTATATATGAATCTATTTGAACGTAAACACATAATTTTAGTATACGAACGTTATGAAAAAAATGAACTCCCTAACTATTGAAACTAAATTGGCCATGTTTATAGTTTATCTTGGTGTCGGTAAGAATTAAATCAATAAACTAATTAATGTATATTATAGCTAATTTAGTGGCAATTTAAGCAAGTGTGCCTCGTTGGGTAGATAGTTAATTACGGAGTAAATTGGACCGGTAAAGTAATTTTTGAAATTTTTGAAATTTAATTAATCCACCTCATTTCTTGTAATTATTTGCTTCATTAGTAGTCATTGTTGCTTTGTGTTGCTATTGTGGAGGAAGTTGGCCTGCTCTTTTCCTGAGGTGTTTTTGTGCTGTTGTGTGTAGTTATCAAACTCACGATACTATAAGAAAAAAAAAAACATTTTTGCTTTAATAGATGCGTTATGTTTTTAACAGTTGTTTAAACTAAAACGTTTCTGTCGAATTGTCGATATAATTAAGTTAGAAAAAATTGGGTGGCTAAACTGATCACTCTATATGCAAAATGAATTTAGGTAATCAATCAATTATATCAACTGATTTATTTCAATGTAGTGGTCCAAAAATAAATTATAAGAGAAGAATAATGACTAATCAATATTTAGGCGTTTTTAACACCCGATTAACATCCAGCGAGTTTTAGAACTCTGTATGTGCATTATTTCTACAAAACAAAATTCTTAACTTCCAATGACTGAAGTAAACACAAAAGAAGCGACGCTAATTAATCAGCTTAGGTTGGTTTGTTAAGATTATTTAACCAGCAGGGAAAAGAAATCATCAATGGGATGGATTTACAAACAAAACTTATGAAGGTGGATTCGACATGATTTGGGAAGAGGTAACTTTTCTTGGTGTCGTTTCCATCATCAGCTTTAGGACACATCTTGAGATGGATGGAAGCTTTGATGTACCTCCACCACACTCAATTACCTCCTTGACAATCTCTCTCTCTCTCTCTCTCTCTCTCTCTCTCTCTCTCTCTCTCTCTCTCTTTAAACTGTAATCGTGAAATGAAAATGTCACAAATTTCTTAATTAACAAAGGTAAATCTTTAATTCATTTAATTAGTTACATTTTTAATTCCTTCAGAAAGCTGATCATACTAATGAGCCCAAACTCCAAACCTTTTTTTGGCTTCATTATGGAATGATTAGGTTCAATTAATGATGCAAGTTACTTGCTTAAAGAAATGAAAGTAAAGTCGTTAATTGTATAATTAAGTAGACAATAAATGGTGATAGGAAGATAACGTTTTACACATCATTATCAACTGATTGTTACCATCGGTGCAAACACAAATTCTTGGTGAAGGATGCTTTATAAAATTACATAAATAAAATATCTAACAATATTAATCCAGGTATAGAGCCGAATAAATCTTTGTTTTTTTGTGATATGATTAGAAAATTTATAAACATTTCACATGAAGTTGAGTGCCAAAGACATGAATGGCACAAATGATACATTTAGAAGTTTTTTGACACGTGTGGGGACGTACACACGAAACCCTACCTCTCTATATGAAAGCAAGAGAGGATAAACCGTCAAAGTAACATTTATAACTTTATTAATATTAGGGAAATATAGACAAATATAGTGAGATGCACTATTTAAACATTGATACACAATAGTCAACACAAAAAGAGAGAGGGGAGATTGAGATTTAATAAAATGGAAGGAGGAAGAAGAGTACTAGTCAATAACTACGATCTACAACAAGTGACATCGTCGTCGACGACGATTCAAGAGAATATGAACTTCCTCGTTCCTTTTGAAGAAACCAATGTCTTAACTTTCTTCTCTTCTTCCTCTTCCTCTTCTCTCTCTTCTTCTTCCTTCCCCATTCACAATTCTTCCTCAACAGCTACTACTACTACTACTCATGCACCTCTAGGGTTTTCTAATAATCTTCAGGTCTAGCTATGATCTCTCTTTCTATATATATATATATGTGTGTGTGTTGATCTCGTTTGGCAGTTGAAGTATAGATTGATCTTTAATTTGGAGGGTTTTCTATATGGTTTTTGTAGGGTGGAGGACCTTTGGGATCAAAGGTGGTTAGTGATGATCAGGAGGAAATTAGAGGCGGAATTAACAATGATGCCCATTCTAATTCTTGGTAATTTAGCTCACTTAGTTAATAGCTAACTAATAAAGTTATAATATAGCCTTTAATTATTTTGTTCAGTAAATTGATTCTCTCTTTCTCTCATATATTTTGGGTGAACACTATGTTATAAATTTTATAGATATTTTTGAGATCCAGTAGAACGATAGACTATGCATAAAACCTTATGACACAAGATTAAACATAAGGTATAGATAGATTCCTAATACATTATAGAGTGGTTACATTTGCAGGTGGAGATCGAGTAGTGGGAGTGGAGAGATGAAGAATAAAGTGAAGATAAGGAGGAAACTAAGAGAGCCAAGATTCTGTTTCCAGACAAAAAGCGATGTCGATGTTCTTGACGATGGCTACAAATGGCGTAAATATGGTCAGAAAGTAGTCAAGAACAGCCTCCACCCCAGGTGATTCATTAACACCACCATATTTCTGTGAAAATTCTTGTTTTTTATAATCTTAGCACCATAATATTTATGTGATAGTTTAATCAACCCTATAAATAAGTCTAAATTAACATTACCGATAGAATAGTTCAGATAGCATGTGCTTAGTGATTTTACACATAATTAATCACATTGACTGATGACTGATAGTTTCGTAAAAGCTGAGGTAGGAACTAAATTTAGGTGCATCATAATATTCTCTCTACAGACTGTTCCCGAACCTTAGCTCAAGTACTAGACATGACTGCTTATACATCCTTATACATATGTATATATTTTCTATATATCTTGTTTCGAATATTTTTCTGTACGTATCTTTGCAACTTTAGTATATATGCATCGTACGTCCCTCGAGGGCTGTCATCATCATGAAGAATGCAAACAATATTTTCTATTTTTGTCTCTTTTATTGTGCAATATCTACAAATATTTCCAACTATTTTTGTTTATACATTATAAGTCTCATATACACAAATTTCACATGTTTGTTTGTTCTTTTGGACAAAAAAAAATGGTTAATTGAATATAACTGTTGTGTCTAAATGATGTGCGTACTAATAAATGAAAAACAAAAATGTGGAAATATATATATATATATATATATATGTATACAGGAGTTATTATAGATGCACACATAACAACTGTAGAGTGAAGAAGAGAGTGGAGCGGCTGTCGGAAGATTGTAGAATGGTGATTACTACTTACGAAGGTCGTCACAACCACATTCCCTCTGATGACTCCACTTCTCCTGACCATGATTGTCTCTCTTCCTTCTAATCTCTCTCTCTTATAGACATATATATATATATGCACATATAGATGTGTGATATATATATATATATATATTGAATGTGTTTTATTGGGGGTGGGGGGTCAAATTACATATGTTTTTCAAGAATATATCATCAGATGTTATATTATATTCTTGAATTTTCGTTTATAGTATACATATATACACTGGATTAGTTTTTGAGTTTGTCGCGGTAAGATCGTTCGGTAAAGTGATTTTGAAGCAAAATACTGACCGGATGAAGAACGTATTATGTTGGTGCAAGGTTTTCTTTTCTTGATAAGAAAAATGAATCTACTCCAACAAAATCAATCCCTAATTCGACTAGAATGAAATTAAAATATCGTTATATACACGATTTATGTTGGCTCATCATGGCACCATATATATGGCTAACATATATTTTCTTTGCTGCTTTGATATTCCATTATAATCGAATTCAACAGTTTACACAAAAAAAAAAAATTCATTGTGCATTACAACAAACGATTTCGAGCTAAAAAATATAGCAAACAAATACTTATCTGAAATTACTTGATTAGTGTCAGACATGTAGTAAGATTTTCCCGAACGTCAGCGAGAGATTATGTTCCACGATTCAACATTACAGAATTGGTACGACGAGTTTTAATTAAAGATGAGCCATATAAAGTATGTATATAAAAAGAGCTCAGTAATAGTTTATTGTATAATGTTATAAGTAGAAACGACACTCAAGCCAACCTAGCTACAAACTATCTATTTTGCTTTTCGCTAATCATAGTCGACTATATTACATATCACATATGTATATTGTTAATTAGGGTTATATGAAATATCTAGCTAGCTAGAAAAGCTTCTCTTCCTAATGATGAAGATGTTATAACTATAGATGATTGACTCATGCAGCCGGAGCGTAATCATAGACTACATCATCGTCATCATCACCTTCGTTCTTGAGTGATATTGCACATGCAGTGTGGCCATTAATGTACTGCAGAACCAAGTCAAATTCTAGTGCAGCGTACATTCTGTTTTCTTCACTCTACTTAGTGCAAACTAGTTGAAAAGAAGCGCAAAGAAAGAAAACTAGATTGGATATAAAATATTGAGATGGTTACTTAGTGTATTTATAGATGTAAGAAGCTAATGGCGAACGGTGAACTCATTAAAACTGAGTCAGGGCATGTGACTCGCTGCTTAGAATGTGTGCCTGACACAAGTGGAGTGTGAAAAACTGAGTAAGCCACCTATTTGGTGCCCTGACACATCCCTCACTTTTTATACATGTATTGGTCCACCTCTTATTACACGGTTAGTTTTTAACACTTCTCATTTCGTTATGAAAAAATTTATTGATGGAATGGAATATCAAACTTTTTGCAAGTAATGAAAGAGGAAGAAACATAAAGTTTTTTCTTTCTTTTGGATTTTAGTAAGATTATATTATAGGGGTATTGATTCCCTCAACCAATAGCAACATCATGGCATCATGCATAGAGCCTTGAGGGACAAAAAGAAAGATTTATGATCTGATGTCTAGATTTGTTTTTGGCTTATCTTCATTTCAACATTATTATGGTAAAGATTTATTTTTCCCCATGGATCAACCTTACAATAGTTTCTCTATAATTAGATTTTTGGGAAAGTAAGAGAGAGGTGTCTAGATTTGTTTGGGTTCATCTTCATTTCAATTTCAACATTATTATTATATGGTAAAGATTTGTTTTCTTTTTTTTTCTTTTTCGGCTTAGCATGACAATATTTACTTTAAAATTAGGCTTTTGAGAAAGTACAGAGATTCTCGTTAAACGGCCCATTTAAGGCCCATAATCGTCTCAAAAGATGATCGTCAAGCGCTGGAAGAAGAGATGAGTCATAAAGTCATAATAAACTTTGTCCTCGGCTTAGGTTTCATTCTCTGATCGTCACGTGGCAGTAAACAATTGGTTAAATATTAGATTCTCACAAATTTTGGGCCCGTTTGTGTAAGCCCACAACAGCTATTTTTTTTTTTTTTTCCGTTTTGTTCTTTTTTCCCCATCGAAGTTCGAACGACTATTGATTTATTAATTTTTTTGCACGACCAATTGTTTTATTAGTCATCTGGATCTTTTTTGAAGATATTTGTAGAACAATTTCGTATGCAACATAATATGAAATGGATGGATTCTAGCTAGGCCCACCAAATAAAAATTGGATTGGTCAAATAAAGTCTTCGACAACAAAAATGATCTGGTCTGATTTAAATACTAATACACCTTTTTTGTAAGAACGGAGCAATGCATCATCTGATTAATATATACGATTTTTTCACTGAAAATAAAGTTACAGTTTTGCAAAGGCATTTTAAAGGCTAAGGCTACCACCAAACTAATGTGGTCCACCGATCTTTATATAATTCTAACAAATTATTCATCAACTAGACTAGACCTATACTATATACCAATATATATATAGTATTGAATGTTCTCTCAAATGCAAATATATACTAGTTATTTTTATCCCTTGATTATAGTACTATTATATGAAAAAAAAAACTTATGAAAACTTATAAAAAAGGGGTATTTGAAGGATGGGGAGGGGTCACATGGAGCAGCACATGGAAATTGGGTATGAAAAAGATACGAGAAGCGAGAGACACGTTACGCAGTTATTGACGATCCCCAAATGCTCCAAAAAACTATATACTACTCATAACGATATCGTATGTATAAAAAAATAAATAAGATATCTTTATTCTTAGTTCTCTCACGAGACATGCTTTACTTTTTCATCACTCCAATCCCATTCAGTTAACATCTAACCTGGCTGTCATGCTTAAGTAATTGATATATATATATATATATATATATTTGTAATTTCAGGTACTAAACCAACTATACGATCAGTACTCGCATCAGAAGGAAAACCAAATAAAAATAAAATAATGGCCACATAATATACGCCTAAATCCTGTGTGCTCATTAATCAAGTTTTGTCCACTTCAGGTTGTAGTTCGTGAATTTAGCTAGAAACTATCTATATTTTGATGTTATTTGGACGATAAAATTACTAACGAACTAACAAAAATGCATCATTTGTTGGATTGCCAATTATGTAGAAATAGTGGTTGAATATAGTAATTTAAAGTGTGATAATCCGTGATATACCAAGCAAAATATATCGCTAAGTTGGGAAAAAACATTCATATTACTTTTATTTGTATACAACGTCGACAATTTGAATTTCGGTTGTTAAGCATTTAAAAAATAATATATATATGTATATATGTATATATGTATATACATTTCACATTCTACCCCACAACAAGACTCTATATACTAACACAAAATTTTTGAAATATATTTTTTACAGTTTTCAGTCCACATGGTACTTTTAAAATTTAGTAATTGTGTTTTATACAGTTTCATCTGGATTAAATTTGAAACGTTCTAAAGGGATGATCACACAAGTTGACATATCGTCCTGTAAAGTTAAAATATTAACGAAAAAGTGAAAATCTTCTTATTTTTTGCTAACGTGAAAATCTCTTCTCATTTTTCTCCTTTATTTTGCCCTTTAACTTTTGGCTTTGGGTTCGCTCACTCGCTGGTCTGAAATGCGTCCAAATTAGCTGTCCATCTTGGCATGTTAGATGTAGATCGATCTATTATCTATTCATATCTATATTTTTCTAACAATCCTAATTTTCTTGGGCTATAAAGAAAGGATTAAATGTTATGTTACCCGATGGGAATTGATTCGCATTATGAGAAACACATGCATTTCGTAAGATCACTATCGTGACTTTTGAGTTTAAATAAATTTCCCCACATGTCATGTAACATGATGAGTATGGGATCCCATCTCTACATAACAAAACAAAAATTAAGACACATATAGATATACATTGTTTCTTATTATCTACATAACTGTAACCACGATAGAAATAAAATGACGTTGATCATCTTCACTTATCTCTGATAATGTTTATTTTTTACATACAGTTTCCTCAAATCACACCAATTATTCATAAATTCATAGTGCATACAGATTTATTACGATGTCATATTACGTCTGTCTGCGTCGAATTGATATATCGTGTTTTATGCATTAATTATGTTTCCCTCTAGTTACAACTTAAGTTTCAAATTCAATAATCATCATTAAACCAACTTATGAAATAAAAGCACCACTTTCCCTTTCCTGCTCCATATTCAAATGAGTTGTTTATTTAGGTATTTTGAAATATTTTTGTTTTTTGGTTCCACCGCCGACGGTGATGTAACAAGAGTTAATGACTAATGAGTAAACACAACTGAAAATTCAAAAGGGACACATTCCTAAAATTTAAATCAGATTAAAAAAGGCACCTATCTATCAAATTAAAGAAAAGAAAAAGGAAAAAATAAATAATAACTACACAATATAACGACCAACTTTAACACACGCCATTAACAACAGAGCAGAGCAAATAGAGACTCTTCTTCGTCTGATCACACAGAAAAAAAAAAGAGAGTAACTTTCTTTCTCTCTCTCTCATACTCACAGAAAATGGCTGAGCTTGAGAAAGCAGGAGTAATGCCGAAGCTAATAGCCTTCTTATCTTCGTTGCTTGAACGAGTCGCCGAGTCGAACGATCGGACCCGGCGAGTCACGACTCAGTCACAGAGGGTTTCGGTGTTTCACGGACTGAGTCGACCAACCATAACGATTCAGAGCTATCTCGAGAGGATTTTCAAATACGCTAATTGTAGCCCTTCTTGCTTCGTTGTGGCTTACGTTTATCTCGACCGTTTCACTCACAGACAACCTTCACTTCCGATCAATTCCTTCAACGTTCATCGTCTCCTCATCACCAGTGTCATGGTCTCTGCTAAATTTCTCGATGATCTGTAAGTTTCTCCCCGCTTTTTATTTTCACCATTCAAAGTGACACTTTTGAATCCAGAGTTGAGCTAACAATTCACTACCACACTTAAATGAATGATCAATCAGTCCCCTGTTTCATGAATGCTCTGTTTTTCTATTTTGTTTGAATCTAAAAGAACGTCCTTTAAAAAAAATCTTAGCCTGATTCTGGTTTTCGAGAGTCGAGCTAACAATTCACTATCACACTTAAATTTCCAGACATCCAAATGAGTGATCAATCAATCCCCTGTTTCATGAATGCTCTGTTTCCTCTGTTTTGTTTGAATCTAAAAGAACGAAATTTAATATAAATCTTAGCCTGATTCTGGTTTTCGAGAGTAAATTCACTATCACACTTAAATTTCCAGACATCCAAATGAGTGATCAATCAATCCCCTGTTTCATGAATGCTCTGTTTCCTCTGTTTTGTTTGAATCTAAAAGAACGAAATTTAATAAAAATCTTAGCCTGATTCTGGTTTTCGAGAGTCGAGCTAACAATTCACTATCACACTTAAATTTTCAGACATCCAAATGAGTGATCAATCAATCCTCTGTTTCATGAATGCTCTGTTTCCCCTGTTTTGTTTGAATCTAAAAGAACGTCCTTTAACAAAAATCTTAGCCTGATTCTGGTTTTTGAACCCTAAAATTGAATTATAATATTTGTTTGGTTAAGACATCCCAATGATCAATCAATCAATCACCTGTTTTATGGATCTCGGTTTCTTAGCTCAAGAATTGAAGTTCTAGGCCTTAAATAAAAATTCATCTTTATAAAAAGAATTGATTTGATTCTTATTTCGTAAAAACTATAATGGGTAAATTTAACAGGTACTACAATAATGCGTATTACGCGAAAGTGGGAGGGATAAGCACGAAAGAGATGAATCTTCTGGAGCTGGATTTCTTATTCGGGTTAGGATTTGATTTAAACGTGACGCCAAACACATTCCACGCTTACTTCTCTTATCTTCAAAAGGAAATGACTCTTCTTCAACCTCTCTCTCTCGTTGTTGTTGCCCCACCAAGATCTGTCATTACCTTCAACGACGATGAAGCTTCTCATCAGAAACAACAACTCGCTGTTTGATTCACAGAAAGTTCCAAATCTTTATTTGGTTCTCTTTTCTTAAGAATTTAATCAATTTCGCCCTTTTTATATGAATTGTGTAGTTGTAGATGATGTAGAGATTAGTCGGCAGGGCCTCTTATCTTATCTTAATCAATCTCGATTAAGAAATTTAAAATCAAGCCAGTAAGTTCTTGACCATTTCTCTCAATCTCTCTCTCTCTCTATATATATAAATATGTAATATATATGTTTAGATGTGGACAGATGGGATAAATCTTCTTTACAGACTGGCTTGGCTAAAAAAATTAAATATCACTAGTAACCCTGAAATTTAGAATAACCAGAAATATTATGATTGTTTTTTGTTTTGTCTGATATTCATTTTACCCATGTCAGGTGAGAAACATGGCTTCTTATTTTAGTAATAATAGCAACTATATAAGGTACAATAATTGGATTTGTGAATAAGATTTGTTGTTTCTGGTTCTATAAAGGGAACAAAAGAACATGTGCAGAGCAGAGACAGAGTGTAACGATAAAGAAATCACAGTCAATGGAGAAGTTGAAAGAGGCTAAGAGACTGTGACTTGTGAGAGCTTATACAAATAATATATATTGAAAGAAAAAAAAAACAAAAAAGAAAGTGTTTACCTTTTGACTCATATCTCTTCATACATACAACTCAAGTAACACAAAACAAACAAGAAAGGAAAAAAAAAAAAAAACAGGGGAACTGGAATCTGAGACTGAAACTTGGGATTTTAGGAGGTGGTTGTTGTAGTACTTCTGAGAGGAGTGATTCTTGTTTTCTTGGCATATTTCCGAATTAGACTGGGGATTTTTGCTACTGCGATGGGTAATACAACGGAGATCACCATGAAGAACAAGCCTAATCCGAAATTAGGAGAAAGTGCTGACATTGCAAATCCATAGGTCAAGGCAAGAGCAGTCAGTGAAACTTGTAGCTCAAGGTAGAAAGGGAGACCTTTTGTGAGTAACGAGATTAGTTCAAGAGAAGTGAAAAACCCGATCGAGTTTAAGAAGATGAAAATGCCATAAGAAATCCAACTCTTTGATCCCATTATAGTTGTTCCTGCGATATAAACCGGTTTGGTTTTGTTTCCTTTGATGTCAGTTATTTGACAGTATCCATTGATGCAGTAATCTTCTTGCCAAACACCTCCAGGTGGACTTAGTGCGGCTTGATAAGTCGCTGTGGCTATAGAATCGCGATAACCAGTAAGACACTGCGAATTTCGCTAGGTGAAACTCTGTTTTTCTTGTTCTTGAAGTAATCTAGCCATTGCTTGTGAGTCGTCAGAGATTCTTCTGATTGTCTTGTTTCGTTCTCTGTTGTTATTGTTGCTGCTGCTGCTTGTCTTGTGTTGTCATCTCTGGATCTTATAGCTCCTGCTTCGCGGAGGATCTGATCAATCTCTGTGTCTTCTGGTTCACCTCCAAAGTTAAGTAACAAATCAAGAGGTGTGAAGCCATTGGCGTTTAAAAAGTTCACTTCAATGAAGTCTCTTGGGATTGTGTTATTAAAGTCTCTAGAGCTAAGCAACAAGTCAATCACCTGCCATTTTCATACCAATGGATGTACACTCTATATATAAACCAAACCAAATCCAAAAAAAAAAGCAGCATTCGATTTCAATTTTTGAATTTTTACTATATTTGAAATAACTCGTACTGTCGTTTCTGAACAGCTAAATGCAAAACCGTGTTGCCTCTATTGTCTTGCTTATTCAACACACAGAGCTTATCGAACTCCTTGAGATGTTCCAATAAAGCAACGAATCCATCGAACTGACAGAATCTAACCGCAAGATGAAGCACTGTCTCTCCACGAGCAGTGACTTCTTCAAGAGATTCAGGATTTGCAGACACTAACTCATCAAGAACACGAACTCTTCCTCTCATAGCAGCGTAATGAGAGGAATCCTTCTCTCTTTGCCTTTAATCAAGCAGATCTCACCACTTAGCTTCTCCAGAAGCTCTCTCGCGATTTCGACGTGTCCCATGGCTGCTGCTATATGCAGAGGTATAAATCCGTCTTTGTTAAGTTCTCTTCCGAGACTTTCTCTTAGTTTGAGGATTTCTTTGATGAAACTCAAGTGTCCGTACATGGAGGCAGCGTGTAACGGCGTTTCTTCGCCGTCGATGAGAACAACCTCGAGAAGATTCGGATCGGATTCCGTTGATCGGAGTAGATACTCGACATCTCCTTTTCGAGCAGCCACCATTAGCGGATTCATCTCCATCTCTCTCTCTCTCTGCTAAGTCAAAAACCCTTTTTGCAGGAATTCAACATTAAACAGATTAAAATTTCAACTTTGTCAAGTCAGAGCATTCGAGAAACAGAACATTTCAAAACTCCACACGTCTTCAAAAAAAGTTTACTTTATTGAAGTCAAATTCACACAACAAAGATGAGAGAAAACCCATTTCAAGATCATTTGACAATGATAAATAAATTAATCCAAATTAAATGAGAAAAAACACACGTTCAGCACACACACACACACACACAAAAAATACTAGGTTTGAGAAAGAAACAACGCGCAAAACAACAAAGAGATTGAACTGAGATCAACTAAGAACAGAACTAGAGACTGTTGCAATCGAAAACGCTTGGAGCAACGACTTGATGAAGAGATAAAGCTCACGAAGAACCAAGAGCGACGATAGCCCTAGAACCACAAGCCAAAATATATCCTCATCTGGTGCTATATAGAAGATTGCAATCAAATAAGTAGCCACAATTGAGATAATGCAAAGCCTCATCCAATTTCTCAGAGGGAACCCTTTGGTGAGCAGAGAGATCATTGTAACCGAAGCTAAGAAGCCAATCGCGTTGAAGGAAGCGTAGAGAGTGAAGTCAAGGGGTCTGCTCGCCATGATTGCTTGTCCTGCAGTGCTGTTCCTGGGACCGAAGATGGTGTTTATAATTCGCGCTGGTGACGTTGTTGTGTTGTTCTGTGAACCAGAGCCACCATTAGAGTCCTCACTTCTGAAAGCTCCTGGAGGCTGAAGGACTCCAGTGAATGTAAGTGTTGCTATGAGTGTTGCAACAACCATTAGAGTATCGCGTTGTTCATTTGTGGAATTAGTAATCTCGTAGTCTAGAAAATCCCGTATCCTACGACAAGGAGATTTGCTATGAGGAACTGGTTTAAGGGTTTTGCGTTTCTCCTTTGCGTTCTTTGCTTCAGCTGTCTGAAAGATTTGAACAACTTTGTACATTTCAGAAACACTTCCTCCTTCGGTTTCAATAACCACGTCAAGAATGTCCTTTGGTGTTAACCAGTTTCTGTTTTGTTTATTTACATCTACCGATCCACGCATTATTGCTTCTTCACCAATCAACATCTCCACAATCTGTAGATAACAATATTATAGGAATATTTGGCATATGGTTTGTAAATGATGAGTAAAGAAGAAGAAACTTGCCTGAAGCTGTTTCCCAAGTGTTGCAAGATGTAAGATTGTATTGCCTTCTCGATTTTCTTGGTTAACAATTCCACGCGACATGCTACGATTCTTGATCTCTTCCAGCAACAACTTTGTAGCTTCAATTTGATTGTTCTTAACAGCAACATGAAGAGCGGTCTCAAGAGAAGCAGTTACTTCCTCGAGAGATTCAGGGAAAGACGAAACCAGCTCTTTTATGACCTCGATTCTTCCTCTTTGTGCTGCGCAGTGAAGAGGAATCAAACCGTCTTTATCCTTCAAGAAGCAGAGATCACGTTTCCGTACAATACTTAGGAGCTCTCTCACAACTTCTATTTCCCCTGAGGCTGAAGCAATATGAAGAGGGCTTAACCCTTGTTGGTTCGGCTCCAGAGCTAAACCTGGCTTGTGACGCAAGATTTCTCTTGTGAAGGCGGCTTTTCCGGCAAGGGCTGAGACATGGAGAGGATTCTCTGGAGACGACAGAGAGAGACGCTCGAGAAGCAGTGGATCTTCTTGAAGGAGCAACTCAAGTGTTGTTACGTCTCCCGTGAGAGTTACATCAAACAATCTGTGGTCCATGTTTTCACCGTTCTTGAGTCCCAAGGAATATCCTGTTCTAAATTAAGGTTATCCACTTTCAGATAAGAACACATATCCGTATATATAATATTATAGCAAGCTGAAGTAGGTGTGATGATGAAGTTTAATTTGCCCCTAGACAAAATACCTTACTTGATTTTAATTATTTAATTTTAAAACTCTATGATCGGAGAATAATACTTTTACTAAGAAGATAAGAAACCAATAAAGCCAAAAAAATAACCCAATAATTAGCCTCGATATTGGTTCTTTCTAACTAATCAAAATTAAAAGCCAAGCCAATACAATAAAATAGTAAAAAGCTATTGTTAAACACTTTCACTTTCACTATCGATAACATAAGTCCTCACAAGTTTGTCGTGAGATTCCTTTCTTTGTCTGCTTAAACTACACGACGGACATATGACAGCTGCTGATTCTCGCTTTACACTGGTTGAAGTAGTTGATAGTGTAAGTTAGTGAGAGCCTAGCCCACTAACATCAACCCATTTACACAAATAGGATATAATGGGTTTTAAGGCCTTAAATCAACAAATCATAATCTCATGTGATATAATAAATGAGTTGCTAAAAATAAAAGAATGTTAAGAGAGAAAGATAAGTCAAAAAGAGGAATGACGCCAAAAAATGATAATTAAGCGATTAGCAAGAGTGGTTTGCAAATCTACCCTACGCCACCTACCGGCCCCGTCATACGCGGCTCACGTTAGCAATACAACCATGAAAAAACGGTGGCTATGTGGCTTCGTCCCCGAAATCAGCCGCTTTTTCTCTTTTTATTTTCCATTACTTTTCTTCCACGTGTCATCCACGACGGTGCCCCCACCACCCTCCGCCACCACCGCTTAAGCCTTTTCCCTTTAATTACCAACTCTGCTAATATGCGCTTTTATCTAACACCTTAACCTCCGCCACCAACCATTATCATGCGCCTCTCCTCCACTCTCTCTCTCTCTCTCCCTTATCTCCTCGTTATTACGTGAAATCGCCGCCGCGAAAAGCCATCGCATCACAGCCAACATTTTTTTTTTTCTCGAGATCTAACTTTCTCCAACCCCTCAATTTCTGATTTTATCTATATCGATCATGTCCGATCCGGAATCTCCGTTGAATCATGATCCAATTCCCGATCCATCCCGGGTGCGGATCCAATCGTCTCCGCCGCTAGCTCTCCTCCCGCCGCCACCATCTTCCTCCGCTCTAGACAATGCTTTGGAGGATCCGGCTTCCGCTACCGATGTGAAGATCGCCTCCGTCCCGGCGACTTCCAAGAGCTCCAGGCGATTACCTCCGCCGTGCTGGTCTCTCGAGGAGACGACCGCGCTTATTGACGCGTATCGAGACAAATGGTACGCTCTGAACCGTGGAAACCTCAAGGCGAATCACTGGGAGGAAGTCGCGGAAGCGGTCGCAGCTAATTGTCCCGATGCGACGCCGAAAAAAACGGCGGTTCAGTGCCGGCACAAGATGGAGAAGCTCCGGAAACGGTACCGTACCGAGATCCAGCGAACCAGATCTGTGCCGGTGGCGAGGTTTATATCTTCTTGGGTCCACTTTAAGCGAATGGAAGCCATGGAGAATCGACCGGAGACCAAACAGGGTAACGAAAGTGGAAACGAGGAGGAAGACGATGGCAATTACGCCGCTCGGTATCAATTCAGCGGCGGAGGTTCGGTGGCGAGGACAACACCGAGGTTCTTTAATAGGAATGGTACCGCCGGATCTGGTGGTGGCGGAGGTAGCAGCAGCGGCGGAATTAGAATTCGGATACCGACGGGAGTGAGTATAGCACAGTCCGGGCCGAGATTTCCCGGTAAGATCGATCCGAAATACACGGCGAGTCCAAGTCTCGGTGTCAGTGGGAATCCGAGACCTGGTCGTCTGGGAGCGGGATCCAGTTACGGAGCTAGAGTTGTGAGAATCCCTGAAGGAGGAGAAGATAGAGCAGGGAAACGAGGAAGGGAGATGATGATGATGAAGACGGAGGAGGATGATGATGATGATCCAATGGTTGAGATAGCGAGTGCGATCAAGCTACTTGGAGATACGTTGCTGAGAACAGAGCAGACGAAGATGGAGATGACGAGAGAGATAGAAGCGATGAGGATGGAGATGGAGATGAAGAGGACGAAGATGATACTGGAATCGCAACAAAGAATAGTAGAAGCATTTGCTAAAAGCATGTCAGAAAATGTGGAGGAGACGAAGAAGAAGAAAGCTAGAAGAATATCTTCGTCATTAGCCACTGACTCGTGATCAAAAAGGCCGTAACTTTTATGTGTGATTCTCAGAATTTTAGATTTGTGGAAATCCAAAGAGCTGAATCTTTGTCCTTCAGTTTCTAACACCAGTAATGTTTATGTTATAAAGTGTATAAATTTCGGAAGTTCCGAAGCACCTCTTGTTATAAATTATTTTAGCGTTTTGGTATCCCAATATGGAGTATATACAGAGAGAAGAAGAGTGGTTCTTCGACAAAGCTTGAAAATTGACTTTAATGGAGTAGTAACCACTTCTTAATGGAGTAGAATCCCTTGGTTGTCAGGGCTTATCACACACAGAGCAAGCATCAAATTCAAACAAAAGAAACGCAAATCTTTAAGCTCAGATGTGATAAGGTTCTTGCTAGGTTTTTTTTTGTTTTTAGTGTGGAAGAAAGCCTTTTGAAACTGATAGAGCAATACAAACACAGCTAAATCTCAGTTCTATATGAAGACATAGTGATTAATGCCTCGAACACATTACACATTCATACAGAAGATTAAAGACATCTCCATAGAAGTGATGCTTGTCAACCCATTTTAAAAAGACTTAAATACATGTGCAGTGGAAGATACAAACCGCATGAAACACTTGAGATTAATTTTAATTATGTCTCTATAGTTTCATTTGCCACAGGTCAGATTAGTCATAAATCCGTTGCGATGATCTTTTTGTTGAAAACTTGCAACAATTTTCAATAAGATTCATATAACATCTTTATAAAAACGATAATTTTGTTCTTTCTTTAACATTAAAAAAAATTAAAAAAATTAAAAAGTGGGGATTAGGCCCAGGGCGGTCGCCCCACTAGCCATGGGTTTGAGCTGGGACTGTCCATTCCCTGACGACTGCTGTATGAGCCACGCGAGTCATGGCTTGACAAAGCATTTCGGCTGCTTCCATATCCTAGACTTGGTCTAGAAATCCTACACCAAAAACATGCAAGTAAGAGCCTAAAAATACACTTGACACACACAAAAACTGCAGCCAGAGATAAACAAAGATGAAGAACATACCGATCCCCATACGATTCCCCATATTGAGATGGGCCAAGATCAAACTCCAAACGGGCTCTTGAATGACGAACATCGACATCAGCATATCGGGGAGGAATGTCATCCTACATAACAAACACTCGTTGAGTAAACAATCATATAGTTCAACGATCAAAAACCCAAGAGAACCAAATGGTCAAGAGTAAGCAATAAATTCCGACCAATGCAGCATATGGTCGCTTTGACCCAGGAAGAGGTTCATAAGCACGAGATCCTCCTTCACTGTAACTTGGAGGTCTTTCAAATCTCGGACTGTAAAGATCATCCACGTACGGCCTCCTCATTTCTGAGCGAGAAGAACTTCTAGGAACATCTGAATAACCAGAACCACGAGGTGACACAGGAAGAGGTTCATAAGCACGAGATCTTCCTTCACTGTAATTTGGAGGTCTTTCAAATCTCGGACTGTAAAGATCATCCACGTACGGCCTCCTCATTTCTGAGCGAGAAGAGCTTCTAGGAACATCTGAATAACCAGAACCACGAGGTGCGTAATCATCTCTGTAAGACAGATGCCTCTCAGGAGAAAGCCTAGAGCTATAGCTCACAGCTGGTCTGCTTCTTGGAGGAGGAAGATCATCACGCCGACCATAGTCCCTCTTCAAGCTAGCCTTTGGATACGGAGGAACTGCAAAACACAATTTGGAATATGATCAAATACATCAACAGAAAACAAAAGTCGAGAAAAAAAGATGACTGAACATGAAAAAACACCAGTCCAGCGCCAGTTGTACCTGGAGGTCTTCTGTCATATGACCTAGCAGGTGGTGGCAAGGGCCTGACTCTTGCAGGTGGTGGCAAGGGCCTGACTCTTGCAGGAGGTGGTAGAGGTGGGCGTGGGCGTTGGCGTCTTCCTCTTGATCCAGTCGCTCTCTTCGCACTAGAAGGTGGGACCCGAGATCCAACGCCTCTAGCACTTCTAGAGGAAGCAAGGCTACGAGGTGGTAGACGAGCCAATGAACTCCTTTCAGATCGTCCACTCCCATGCCTAGACCGGTGGGCTGAGCGATTGAACTGCCTGGCTTTACCTGTTCTCTGAAGTGGTCTAGATAAGCGTGCTCTTACTTTTGACTGGCCAAGAAAAAGGGGAGATATAAGCAAGCAAGAAAATACTCATGTGAACTAAGGATTACAAAATATGCATACCTTGTCCTCTCCCTCTCCTAGCTCTGAGTTGTTGATGAATTTGGCACAACTCACAGCAGCTTCATGAGTATCAAAAGTTACAAACCCATAATCTTTCCTCCTGGCTGATGGCATATTCCGCGCAAGCTCAACTTTTTCAACTTTACCATATCTTTTCAAAAGGTCTCTAACATGCTCTTCATTCCATGAAGGTGACATACCATCAATGTAGATAGTCTTAACCTGTAATACCAGAAAATTAATGAAACCAAGTACTATGAGCAGATAGATATAGTAGATTCAAAATCATTAATCCAGTATTTAGAAATGACGTTAGAGGGCCAGAAGGAAAATGTATTCCGTGTCTGTTTTCATTTATGGGTTTAGAACGTATTCTAAGCTACCATCCAGAAACGGTAAAATAAAACCCTATTAAGTGAATAGGTGGCACCCACATCTGCGCCTATAAACTCCTCCAACACTCTAAAGAGGACATGGTAGGATGAGAGTTGCAACAAATAAATGATCCTGCATTGTGAGTACCTGCGCCATAATCTCATCTTCCGGATCTAAGAAGGAATCTGAAAAAGAAACTTTTGCAGGCTTCTCAACTCCAAACATCACATCGTTCTTGAGGAGGCGTTTGTGAGCATCCATGGCATCTGAGCGAGATGAGAATTCCAAAAAAGCATACCCTCGATTCATGTTGACATTGTTGTTGTCCTCTACCAAAGAAATATCATTCATATTCTCAACGCCATAGTGTTTCAGCTTCTCCCTCAACTAGAACAACAGCAAAGGCCCAATGGTAATTACCACGAACTGTCGAATTGGGTTTAATTGACATATCTACAGACACCCGAATACTTACAGCTTCTGGGGTCCATGTCTTGCATATGTTACCAATGAAGAGGGTATCTTTATCTTGGCTGGCAGTTACACCACACTTTTTACCATTGATCTGCAGTCCCAATGACCAAGAGCATGATATAATATGTAAAGCTACACAAACTCTCCATCAAATACTAAAGTGTAGGCGATTACCATTGGGTTTTTAAGCTCTTTAACGGCTCGTTTTGCCTGTTCCACAGTTGCAAAACGCAGGAAAGCATAACCCTTGCTCTTCTTTGTCTGAGGATTCTTCATAATCCTAATTTCAGTCACTTCGCCCACGTGACTGAAGACCTTCTTTAAGTCCTCCTCCGTAGCACCTTTGTCCAAGCTTCCAACAAATATTTCAAACTCCTTACGCTTACGTCTCTCTTGGAAAACAACATGATGCTCTTCTTCTTCCACATCGACAGTTTTTCCATGCTTAATTTCTTCACCAGCATGCTCATCATCACCTTCACTCTCAAGCTCCTCCGGACCATCTCCAATCTCGTCTGCAAACTCACCTACTTCGTCCTCAACCTCCATCTCCTCCTCCAGTTCTTCGTCTTCTTCATTTACTAACTCATGATCCTCCTGTTCCAGTTCTCTCTCTTCAAAATCCTCCCCACCATATTCTTCAGGCTCATACTCTGGTTCATTGTCATCTAAATCCAATCTTTCATCTTTTCCGAAATCATCCACAGATTCCTTTACCTCAGTCTCCTCTGCGAGTAAAAGCGAGTAAAACATCTAGACTATTCGAGGTAGCCTAAAGTGAAGATACCTCTATCTTCCAAAGAAATTAGAGGAGGTGACCCTTAAATTCAATCATCCAAATTAAATCTAAACATTCTATGGTCAGATTTGTTGGGAGGACCAAGCCATAAACTTTCGTCAGAGCGAGACTTAGATCCGTCAGAAACAAAATACGATACTAAGATTAACTAGATAATCCCAAAATACGAAGCAAAGGAATTAAAACCAAGCTCAAAAGAATCTTACTTTTCGACAGAACAACGCCATCCGGATTCGCAATAGCTTCAGGATCATCGAACGAATCCGATGGCTTTGGCACATCTAATGGATTCTCTTCCTCAACAGATTTATCCACCTCCGGTGTCTCCTCCTTAGCTTCTACAACATCGGAGCCAGAGAGCTCTTCCATATTAACAGATTCTTCATGGGGAGATTCCACCGGAGGATTCTGCGCCTTGAGCGCCGATCTGGTAAGCCTCCCGCCTCTTCTCGCGGCGCCTCCCCTCTTCACAACCCTCGGTGGCATCGCGTTCCTATGTTGTTTACCAATCAGACCAAACAAACAAACCTAATTCGATTCGAAGAACAAAGATCAGAGCTTAGCAACACAATTATCGGGACCGAACACTCCTAGCTCAGCGGATCAACAATGGTAATGAAATCGAGAGAGCTAGAAGAAACCCTAATTGGCGAGAGAAATGAGAGAGCCTGAGCTTGTTGGATTAAAATAATATAATAAAATAAACTAAGATAAAGATACTCTGTTTTAAGGAAAAGACGTGGTGATCAAGCTTTTACTTCGGTATTGATTTGTCAAAAATACAAAAAAAAAAGGAAATATGTGAAAAGGCCTAAATAATTATGAAAATTTGATAAGCTGTGAGTGATTCTACCAATTTCAATTTGTTCCCTCCTTATAACCTAGTATTTAATAAGTGTAGATGCAACTCTTTATGTTATATACTACCATATATTTTTCCCAATTAAGAAGATCCGTAACCCTTTAATCCAGTTATCACTTTCACGCCTCTCGCTGACGAGTGACGCCGTTTCAACTTTCAAGCTAACCTCAGTTAACAATGGTATGGTTCGGTCACGGATTATATTAGATCGTATCTTGACCTAGTTTCAAGTGTGTTTATATGGTTCGGTCACGGATTATATTAGACCACAATATGCCTTCCAATCGGTTTCGATTCATCTATTTTTTTCTCAGATTTTCTTGGTTAGTAAAATTATGAAATGTAAAGACCAAAGCTAACGGTTGATTTCTTCTCAAGTTCAGTTTTAATCGGTTAAAACCGGTTTATATATTTGTCTTGATCTTGAGCTTGTAACTCAAAGAGACAAGCATTGATGATCATTTACATTTTACAAAGACGAGACTTAGCTAATATGTTACAACACACTCTTCACCATAATATCAAACTCTTATAACGAAGATAGCGAATCATACTACTCTGCAGATTTTGATCCACAAAGTGTCGTTCATATGGCAACACACTAAAAAGGATTTTAAAAAAGAAAGCAAGCCGCGCCAGATATTTGAGTAGGTAGTCAAAGAAGCAATTGAGATCAAAGAACATGGCAGAAACCAAATCTGCTCTTTTGTTTCTTAGTCTTTGATGGAGGCTGTAAAACTACTTTTATCGCCGCATCAAACACCTCTTTCACATTCTGAAAGATAATCATCATCATCATCATCACAAGTCCAGTTTTAGCAGATTGAGCTATAAAAGATCTGAGTTAGAGAGTAATATAGCTCAAGTATTAATGGTTTAGTACCTGTTGTGTTTTCGAGCTGCACTCTATATATGCTAATGCTCCTATCTCCTTTCTTAGTTCTTGACCCTAAAAAGAATAAGCTTTGTGGTATATAAAAAGCTTGAATGTTAAAAAAGCTCTGATGATACATCTGAAGAAGAATATTAAGGAAACATACTTGTTCTGTAGAGATTGTGCAAGCACCTGGATAAGTCATTGGGAACTGCTTGTCTTCTCTTAGATCTGCAAGAGCAAGAAGTTTGATCATACATATTACATTAGATCTATTACACTTTCGATTTCCAACATTCAAGACGAATGGAAAAACAGAACGGAATTCACAGAGTGGGTCAAACTTTCACCTAATTTAGTTCCAACGAGAACAATAGGCACGGTCGGGGCATAATGTCGCAGCTCGGGGACCCACTGCGAAAGAGAATCGATCCGCAAGCAAGCGCATGAGATGGTGTGAGAAAGTTACATTGCAGTGACATTGAAGGGGAAAGAAAGAAAGAAAGAAAGTCTGGACCTTTTTAGCAATGTTCTCAAAGCTAGGCCTGCTAATAAGAGAGAAGGCAAGAATGAAAACATCAGCTCCTCTGTAACTCAATGGTCTAAGCCTATTGTAATCTTCCTGACCTGAAATTTAATAAAAGAACAGAACAGATATAAAGATCCATTCTTTTTTCAACTACCCATAAAATTCAAGATTGAGAGAAACAAAAGTCAAAAGTAACATTTATCTTAAAGGGTCAAAAAAGATTAGACCTTTACAAAGTTTGGAAGATATAAATCTGTATACAAGAACAGAACATTTTACCAGCAGTATCCCAGAGACCCAAACTGACAGTTTGGCCATCGACTACAACATTTGCACTGAAATTGTCGAACACTGTTGGAACATAATCCTGTAATAACGAGAACAACATTCACGAAAAGCCATCAAAAACGCAATCCAAGAGAGAGAGAGAGGGAGAGAGAGATGGATACAGTGGGAAAAGTGTTGCTGGTGTAAGAGATAAGAAGACAAGTTTTGCCCACAGCTCCATCGCCAACAGTGACGCACTTTATAAATGTTGTAGCTGCTGTTGTTGTTGCTACTGTTGCTGCAGACACTGTAGCTGACATCGATTGAGAAAACTCTCTGATCCTTTCTATCTTTCTCTTTCTCTTTCTCTCTCTCTCTCTCTCTCTTTTGTGCTTCTGGTTAAGTGTAGAAGGAAGAGGAGAATTTAGAGGAAAAGCTGCAAGATTTTTCAAAGAGTGGAAAAAAAGGTGTCCACTTTAATTTGGAGCGGTCAGAGAGGCAAAAGCCTAAAAGAGAGTATTTTAATTTTGGTGGGTTTGTTTTTTCTCGTTTTTTGAATGTAAAAACTTGCTTTATTTCATCTTTCGTTCGAAAAACTCTTATTTACCCATTTGTTCAATATGACTTAGAAAAAATCAAAGGTCCAAAATTTTCTAGCAAAAGATACAAAGTAAGTGGAGTAACTGTAGTTTATGTGTTAATCATTGGTGTGCAGAATTGCAGTCACTAAACAATTGAAATTGTAAATGAATGTTACAAATTAATTGAAATTGTAAAAACTAATTAAAAAATAGTTAGTAAACGAATTATTTTTTCTGTATAATAATATCATTAATATTTCAATTTCAAGTTTAGACAATGGATCGACCACCAAACACCTCATCATTAGCCAGAACAGAAGGCAAAGGCAAAGGCAAGTCAATTATTACTACCGTGTTCTTATGAAAGAAAATAGAAAATAATTAAACTTTATGATTCCTTTCTTCCTAAGATATATGATATGATGAATCATAGTTAAATCGTACAAAGAGCGATCACAAGGTAAAATAGTGTGTCTATGATAAGGCCCAATAAAAGGAAGCCCATTTGAAATAACAGAAACTAAGAAAAATGAAAAAATGATAAATCAAAGAGAGAAGAAAACAAACAGTAGAGAAGGAGAAAAAACCACAGGGAAAAGCAAAGCAGAGCACTCTTTACCTCTTCTTCTCTTTCCTCTACTCTGTGATCAAGAAATTATCATTAATAAATAAAAGAAATTTTTTAATAGAAGACAAAAAAAACCTAGATATCTCCGCCTCTCTCCTTTCTCTGATGATAAGAAAGTCGGAGACTTTGAGAATCTAAGCTTGGAAGTTTCTTAATCTTATTGGGGGAATCGAATCGAGTTATGTACAAGGATCGGAGTGGAGGAATAATGGGTGGTGGTGGATCGTCGAGATCGGAGATCCTCGGTGGAGCTATTGATCGGAAACGGATCAATGATGCTTTAGACAAACATCTGAAGAAATCTTCACCTTCCACATCGAGGGTTTTAACTTCTAAAGACAAAGATTCCTTCCCTTCAACTTCCACTGCTAAATCTCAGCTTCCCGATCATCGCCATTCTCGCTCACCTGAAGGTTGTTTGCTTTTTTAATCTCAGAGTCAGTTTCTGTGGTTTTAGTATCCGGAAAATTTTCTGATTTTTGGGTCTACTTTTGTGTTTTTTTTCTGGCAGTCGAATCTGAAACGGATAGTGAAGGATCAGATGTGAGTGGTTCGGAAGGTGATGATACATCGTGGATCTCGTGGTTCTGTAATTTGAGAGGGAACGAGTTTTTCTGTGAAGTAGATGAAGATTACATACAGGACGATTTCAATCTCTGTGGATTGAGTGGTCAAGTTCCTTACTATGATTATGCACTTGATCTCATATTAGATGTTGAATCATCAAACGGTAAGTGGTGAATGTCCGTCCATTGATGAATTCACTTTGTGTAAGATCTTTCTTGTATTAATTTGGGGAGATTTTTTTTTTGGGAATTAGGTGATATGTTTACTGAAGAGCAAAATGAGATGGTGGAATCAGCTGCTGAGATGTTGTATGGTCTTATTCATGTTCGTTACATTCTCACCACCAAAGGATTGGCTGCTATGGTAAAAGAAGAAGAAGACTAGTTTAGTTTCTTCCTTATGATCTCTTGTTTCTCATTGATCTTTTTTTTGAATGACATCGTTTTTGCTTGAATCTCTTTGTAGATGGAGAAATACAGGAACTATGATTTCGGGAGATGCCCGAGAGTTTACTGTTGCGGGCAGTCTTGTCTTCCGGTTGGGCAATCTGATATCCCGAGGTCGAGCACGGTGAAGATATTCTGCCCAAAATGCGAGGATATCTACTACCCGCGATCTAAATACCAAGGCAGTATCCTTTTTTCCTTTGTTCAAAAGACATTTTTTTCATCTTTCTTGTAGCATAGCTAACATGATGATGCGTTCTTGCGATTGTTTGGTTAGACTTTGCGATTGGCTTTTGATTTACTTGATAACTCTATGGAAAACAAAAGAGTAATATTGTCCACTTGTCTTGGTGTTTTCTTCCTTAATGGTTATTGCAGACATTGATGGAGCTTACTTTGGGACTACCTTCCCACATTTGTTTCTCATGGCCTATGGGAACATGAAACCGCAGAAGCCGACTCAAACTTACGTTCCTAAAATCTTTGGCTTTAAGGTACACAAGAAGCAATGATACTCTCTCTCTCCGATGAGTTTGGTACCCAAATTTTGGAGTGCCACCGATGAATGACCAGACGATTTGCAAGCGATGCGGTTCAGCAACTTTTACTCTTGAGATTTTTTGTTTGTAAAATCAGCATCGTATCTTGAGTTTCTTGTGTTCACATCATTATTCAATCTCAATTTTGTACTCTTCAATTCTAAATAGATCGCTTGTTACAGTGTTTACTACTATACACAATCTGAAAGATCAACGACTTGCGTATAAATGGGCCCAATTTTAAAGCCCACTATGGGCCTAAATTAGCTGTCGCCTTTTTCACATGTAGAAGAGCCGCCGGAGTTGTTTAGTTATGTCGGAAAATGCATCCCAAAAGAAATATTTGTTTTTCAGAATTTGCAATTGACAATACAACTTCTCCACTTCTGGTGGCACTCGATGTGGCCTGAGTCTGAGAACGTAACAACACTATATTGAATAAATTATGTCGATTTATTAGATACGATAATGAGAAGATAAAAGAAATTGAATTTGGAACATAGAATGCTCTGTTTCTTAGTGGAACATCATCGAACAAAATTTAGAACCCCCAGAGAACAAAACCATCACACAGCCAAAAGATGGTCATCTCTCTCTCTCCCTTTCCCAAACTCCACATACATTTACATAAACCAGATCTACAATTTCTCAGATCCCGACATCAGAATTTGAGAACCAGAGAAATTTTTCCCATTTCAGCTCCGATCCAGAAAAAGATAATAGAAACAGAGCAAAACTTTGCAGGTTTTTTTTTAATAAGAGGGTTTTGAAGGATATAGCTTTTAGACGAAAAAGGTATACAGAAAGCTATTTGCTTGATTTTCTTAATGTGTGGTAAAAAACTTCTACTAAGCCACCACGAGAGTTCCTGTCCGTACGGTTTTGCCGGCGGCGGAATCTTTTGCTGCTTCGGAAGATTTTTTCCGGAGAGATCTTGCAGAAATTTTCCAGCTTTTCTCCTTAGCTTCATCAGACTCAATCTGTTCTTCTCTACACTCTTTGCTACAAAACGCCTTGTCCCCTCTGTAAATCATAAAGCCAAAGACAATTCAGAATCGAAACAAATTTTAATGAAATTTAAAGGCAATCGCTTTACATTAAACCCAGATCCAGAATTTGATTTGGTATGAGAAGAGGTTTTGATTTGGTTTGAACGGATTAGTACCTGTACATGAAGATATCGGAGTTAAGACCAAGCGGTTTACGGCAAAGAGAGCAAGATTCCAAAAAGTGTGGCTCTTCACAACCAAAATACCCAGCGTATTGCGAAGCCATTTTGCTTATAATACTAATCACACAAAAAAAAAACGGATCTCGAATTCACAAAGAGAAAATGCAAGAAGCAGATTCGAGGTTCAGCTCAGAGAGAAAGAAGAAAGAGGAGGAGGAGGAGGAAGCCGATGAATTTGGTGTCCATTTATAAAGCCGGCGTTATGACTTTCTGCTTGACTTGAATGAATCATCTGTATCACGGACCACTTAAGTGACCCTGCTCTACATTACATCTTGACCGTCGATTCGTTCCTACGTTCCAATCTCGAAAGATTCATACGTTCAAGCTCAATAATTCAGTACTTTGTTTTATTATTGTCTTCTTGTGTCAGGTAAATACTACTAAATTCTGTTTCTGGTTATTTTACCGGAAAATTCATCGATAAAGTTAAAATACAATGAATCGAACTCTTTGTCCGTACCAGTTATTTTTGTTATTGTTCATCTAATTATATGTCAGTAAAAAAATAGGCATAATTTTTTGTTTTTCTGTTCTCCGGCACCAAAGTCTATACAATTATTATTTGTATTATTATTTTGAATCGTCGACTTCGATCAATAAAAAACAAATATATATTAGTATTTTTTAACATTTCAATAATTTGGGTGGATCTCGTTCGAGGAGGGGACTCAAACAAGTCTTGCGTTTGTGAGATTCGTTGGCCACAATAACATGCATAACGCATGATTGATGGACTTTTTCCGAATATAATATTAACATTAAATGAAAGCTTCTACTAATTTTTTAATTTTTTATTACTGATATTTTACTAAAACTAATTTATATATATTTTTAAAACTGTTCCCGTGTGTACTTTCTGCGATCTTTTTAGGATTCATCTCGCCTGGACAATGTTTCATTCCATGTGTGTAATTTATAATCGCCTCTCATTTGTTTAATTGCTTTACCTGTACTTACATATATATTTTGTTTTTGTCAAAGAACTTGAACTTGTGTATATATCTCATTTATTCTTATATGGACAGTAACGTTTTTTTTTTATTACTATAGTATAGTCAATAATAACTTTTAATCATATCTTTTAATGAGACAAAACAACTTGGTACACGTGTTAGGCTCCAGGTGAAAAAAATTCAAAGAAAATACTAGAAGAAACTAAATCTCCTTCCAAATCTCCTTACAAAAAAAAAATTATTTAATCTCCTTCCAAACTAAATATATGGTATTTAATCTCAAACTTACCAATTAAGTATTTAGTCCGAATCTGTTTGGTTAAAAAATGTGAAGTCTTGGCAGTTGGCACTAAGCTCTGTTCAATGGAAAAGCAAATTGCAAAAAACGATCCAACTAGGCAAAAACCTCTAAAAACATGTATTTGGATTTTGGAACATGGATATGAAAGACGTACCCTCCAATTCTCTAAACGAGCAACAGCGTGACCGACCTATTTTAATCACTGTAATAAATTAGATAGCCACCCGTATATCAACTTTCAACTATCATTTTTAATTGCGTAAATCTATACGTGTCAAAGAGGTTATCATTCTATATAAAAAAAAAACCATCACTACCAACTTGAATTAACACATTTTTATGCTTTTGATTCATATTAGTATTATTCAACTGGAAATTTCAAATAACACAAAACAGCAGACTTTGACTTTTTCAAATCAACGGTAAGAAAACACTACTCTCGTACAATAATGCTATTCTTAAATTAAATATTTAAATAAGATCACGTCAAGCACTCAATGTTTCTGAGTAAGCAATGACTCACATTATGAACGGCAAACCAATAATATACTTGAAAAAACCTTTTACCGATATATAACACAACAAATACATACAAAAGAAAAGAGGCTGTTTTGTGATCAATAATAATAAAGTTCCAAAAAAGAAAGTGGCCAGGACCACACAACTTGTCATCTGTCGATACAACAAAGCGTTCGAGTGGGGGAAATAGGTCCCACTAGAGTTTGGGAATATCAAACGAGGAGCTGACTAGACAAAAACCCTTTATTTAAAAGGACTAATTAGTTATGGGTCCCACTATCACCTCTCACAGGCCCAATAATCGACGTCCTTGTCTCTCGGGCCCATGACAGCTGCCCTTGTACCCCGTTTGCCCTACCTTTCTTTTTTCTTAACCCACCTGCCCTTGTCACGTGTGGTGAATCTCGCTCGTGCGCCAGCTAAGCTGGGAGTTTCTGCTACGTGGCGGTTAACTGAAGGTCTTATGATTGCATAGGAATTAATTTCTGTTGTTTTGTTTCTGCGGTTAGGATTTGATCTTAAGGAATCTTTGGATGTAGTCGTTGAATTCATTTTATTGTAAATGATCTCGGCCATAGATCGATTTCAAATGGTCTAACTCTAGGATCTAGCCACTAGCTACCTTATTTTTGGACAGTTGAAAAGGTAGGTAAGAATTATGCACACAACTTAAAAAGCAATTTTATGTTATCTATGGTTTAACCCAAAATAAATCAAATCGCAAAGAAAAAAGTCACTGCTCTAATCAACAAACAAATAATGAAGGAGAAAAATTGGTTTACGTCATTGTAAATTATCAAAACGTACCAAACACTTTATTTTTTAGGCCAAAATGGTAAACTTGACTGAATTGAACCCAGAAAACAAAATGACATTAATTCAAACACATATGTGACTGAGCAGTGAGTTTAAAAACTAGTATTAAAAAAGAAAAACAAAGCAGTTTCATGTCCTATATATAACCAATTGCATTGTGCCATGTGTACAACTCCACGTAAAACTAAATACTATTTACATTTTAGTATGGGCCGTATGGTGGCCCAGTTTAGGCCCATATTATTGAGTTCTGTAATTAACTTTCCCAAATATTTTCAGTCTATCGGTGCCGAGATGGATCGCCGGGGGAGCGGTGACCGGCAGCTTCTGCTATGGTTCTTCGCCGTGGCCACAGCCGTGAAACTCCTTCTCATCCCGTCGTACAGAAGCACTGATTTCGAGGTTCACCGTAACTGGCTAGCTATCACACACTCTCTTCCTCTCTCCAAATGGTACTTCGACGAGACCAGCCCATGGACACTCGATTATCCTCCGTTTTTCGCCTACTTCGAACGTTTCCTATCGGTTTTCGCGGGTCTCGTCGATACAAGGATCGTAGATCTTCAATCAGGACTCGATTACAGTGCCGAATCTGTAATTTACTTCCAACGTATCAGCGTGATCGTCTCCGATCTCTGTCTTCTCTTCGGTCTTTACAGATTGACTCGAAATCTGGAACCGATAAAGCGAAATCTGATCTGCGCATTGGTGATTTGGTCTCCGGGGCTATTGATCGTAGATCACATTCATTTTCAGTATAATGGATTTCTATTGGGTTGGTTGTTGCTTTCGATTTCTTTTCTGCAAGATGGTAGAGATCTGTTGGGTGGGTTTTTGTTCGCCGTTCTTCTATGCTTCAAGCATTTGTTCGCCGTCGCTGCTCCGGTTTATTTCGTTTATCTCCTCAGGCATTATTGCTGGTCCGGTTTAGCTACCGGTTTCCGACGGCTTGTGACTATTGGCGCGGTGGTTGTTGCGGTTTTTGCCGTTGCTTATGGACCATTTATCTACCATGGACAGGTCAGTGTGGTTCTTCTTTCTTAGATCGAAGAAGGTTGTCTTTTTTTATTTTCCTTTCCTGTGTTATTTCTACAATGCTGAGATATATAGCCAGAAATATTCAGGATTCTAGATGAAGATTCTATTGTTCTCGATGTCTAGTAGAATGTAACTCATTTTTATTGTTTAGTTGAGCAAAGAGTTAGAATTTGTTGGAATTTTGGTGTTGGAGAGCTTATCTCATTTGAGGAGCGAGAAAGCAGAAGTACACACTGTCAACTTATTGTCACAGAAACCTCTCTTCCTTGTGACCTCTCCTGATTGCAGAGAAAGCCAATGCCAATGTTTAAATTAACGGACTCTTACCTAATTGAACCACCGAACCTCTGTGTATCAAGTTAAACTTTTCCGATTAGCGTTAGTGAGAAGGCATCTAATGGTGAGGTTTTCTTGTTTTTTCTTGTTGTGTTTGCAGATACAGCAAGTCATAAAGCGAATGTTTCCTTTCGGGAGAGGATTGTGCCATGCATACTGGGCACCTAATTTTTGGGTTTTCTATATAATACTGGACAAAGGGCTTGCCTTTTTACTACGAAAGCTCGGATTCGATATTCAGATTCCTTTCGCTTCTTTCACTGGCGGACTAGTTGGAGAATCGTCGCCTTTTGCAGTTTTCCCTCAGGTACTGTCAATCATCACATTCTTGTCTGCCTTCATCTCCCAAACCTCATGAAAGTTCCGATTGATCTTATCTTCTGGTACAATGACAGATCACACCATTGACAACATTTGCAATGGTATTGCTTGCTATTACTCCTTGTCTCCTCAAGGCCTGGCAAAAACCACAGCCCGGGGTTGTTGCTAGATGGATAGCTTATGCATATACATGCGGTTTTCTCTTTGGATGGCATGTCCATGAGAAAGCATCCCTCCACTTCACCATCCCACTTGCAATCGTTGCGGTACAGAGTCTAGAAGATGCTAAACACTACTTTCTGGTCTCCATAGGTATTATAATAAGCTCATTCATAACCAGAATCAATAATAATGAATCGTTCCATGTACTAATCTGTATTTCTCTTGCAGTTTCTTGTTATTCTCTCTTTCCACTCTTATACGAGCCGCAGGAGTACCCGATCAAGGTTCTGTTGCTGTTACTGCACTCCATGGTGATGTGGCTCGGCTTTGCGGCTCAACACGGGGACGAGAAGGCATTGAAGAAGAAGAAGACTGGTGATATCAAGAGCAAGTTTGGAATTGGATGTTTTGAGAAGAGCTATCTAATGGGTTTGGTAATAGTAGAAACGGTGTCTCAATTCTTGCATCCGTATTTTCTAGGTGACAAATTTGCATTTATGCCTTTAATGTTGATCTCAACGTATTGTGCCGTTGGTATTATGTACTCTTGGATTTGGCAGCTCCGGAGGATCCTGACATAACATATAGATTCTTGTTCTTGTAACTTGAGGTATTTTGTTTTTATACGGTTTTTAAACATACACATACTAACACAGAGTTATTTTTCTCGTTATGAACATGTTAATAGCGCTCTGCTTTGATTTCTCTTTCAAATTGAAAGACGATTGGGTCATATTAATTAGGCCCAAATTGAAAACAACTAATGGGCCGCAGTATTAGCCCAAAATGGAAACATAAGAACCAGCGAGAAACCTCGAGCCGAAATGGTCGTGACGGAGGAAGAAGATCTGCTTCTGCGAAAAACCTTATCTTCCAATGGCTTCCACTTTCGTCTCTCTACCAAAACCCTTCTTTGCTTTTCCAGTCAAAACCATTACTCCTCCTTCAGCTAACAACAAGCTTCTTCTCGGTACTGACAAATCCTAACTTATTACGTTTCTTCCCTTTCGGATAAAAAGCTTCTCTTTGAAGATTTTTTTTTCTCGTGTCTGATTTTTGTTTTTCTTTTTCATTTCAAATTGATGTTCCTGCAGGAAGTCGAAGAGGTTGTCTTCGTATCAACGCGATTTCCACTAAATGGGAACCGACAAAGGTACTGCCTCTCCGTTTTAATTTCATCAAGCTAAAATTTTTCATTTGAATCGTTTGAAGCGGACATTTATGTTTTGTTGATATGATCAATCGCAGGTTGTTCCTCAGGCAGACAGGGTTCTTGTTCGTCTTGAAGAGCTTGCTCAGGTCTCTCTCTTATAGCTCTTTTTATGTCCTGAAATGTAGTTCATGATTACAAAATAGCAGGAAACACACATAGAAATCAAACTAGAAACTTTAGCTGATTTAGCTCGGTTATCGCAATTCAGTTGCCAAATTATTGATTATTTAGATCATTTGGTTGATGCGATTCTGCAGACAACCTCAGGTGGAGTATTGTTGCCTAAAGCAGCTGTGAAGTTTGAGAGGTACCTAACCGGAGAGGTAAGGCATTGCTCCTTATGTTTTGTGTATATGTATCATCTAACTTCAGGATCTTTGAGTATGGTTTTAATCATGTTTCAGGTTGTCTCTGTTGGTTCTGAGGTTGGGCAACAAGTTGGTCCAGGAAAGAAGGTAAGGTTCTTCTTAACTATGAGACATAATCATCACCCATTGTACTTCTGTTAAATGTTCTTCATTTGATTCTCCTTTGCCTGTTTTCACAGGTTCTGTTCTCTGACGTGAGCGCGTATGAGGTTAGTTTAAAACTTATAATTGCTTTGCGTTTTTGACGGTGAAATTAGCTTCTCAACAATGAAATGATCACAGTACTCGTGTGGTTATTTAGGAATTTAGAGAATTGTAACATCTCTGAATTTATTGCTCAGGTCGATTTGGGGACCGGTGCTAGGCATTGCTTTTGTAAAGAGAGCGACTTGTTGGCCCTCGTCGAGTGAGGAATTGAGCGAGATCGGCTTGTTTAATCGAATGATTCTTGAGGATTTTAGATATTTCCTGTAATTTTCAGACAGCATTTCTTGTTTTCTGTCAAATCTTTCGGTTGAATAATATCAATTGAGATCATTTTCAAACATTCTTAGCAAAAGATCTCCATAGAGTGAAATCCAAAAAAAACGCTTCTTGCCATTTTTAGCATCTTCTGATACAAATGTCAAATGGTACATACTAAAAAAATGGAAAGAAGACTAAATTTAAAACTCAAAAACTCGAAGCTCGATCATGCCTTCTTTTCTCTTTGGAGAGTACCAAGCCACGATTTTCCCAGACTCGAGAAGCCTCAAGGAGTAATTCAAACTGTAAATCAGATCTTCCATGCGTGCCCCAAACTTTCCTGCACCTACTTGAAACTGCGAGTCTAGTTTGGCCACAATCGGACCCGCAACCTGCAGAGTTGTTGCAGAAGAAAAAACAGTGACCTTAAAAATTACTTTTTCTATCGACCAAAGACAAAGAGTGTTTTGATCTTCGGACAAAAGCTAATACCTGTTGCTGGAAGATCAGGTTGAGCCTGGGAGACCACAATGTGTCATCTGATTTGTTACCACCTGAAGATCTCCTAATTGCATGGAAGATTCTTTTTGCAAGAGCAGAAGCTGAGGCAATGTCGACACGAGCATCTACTCGTGTTAGATCGCCATACAACTTACTAAAACGCCCTTTTTGGAACGTATAACAAGCAGAGCCAAATACGTCTGCACTTATGGGACTCCGCTTCTTGCCATTAACCAACATGCCTCGGCCAGTAATCCAAGCTGCCAAGCTGCTACCTAGAGTGTGAACATTGGAGAACTCAGAATTCAATTGAAGGTCAACTAAAAGGAAAGAAGACTCCTTTAGGGGAACGGGTTTTCAAGAGAGTACCTATTATTCCTGAAATTGCTGCATGGGGCTCCTTTAGGCGTAAATCATAAGGTAGAAAATAAGGGGTATCCTCTGCTTCTGTGTTGTTTTCTTTCTCTTGCGGCCTCCACAAGTTTCTGTTAGCCTTGTATGAAACAGCAGCCTTGGCGCATAAACCAGGCATCAAAGAAGTAGGAGCATCACCACCACTCTCACCAGCAGCATTCACAGGCTGAGGATTACCCTTGCTTTTGTGTATACCAAACCGGTACCAGAGCCCGGAATCTGGAGCAAGCGATGAGACATCAAAGTTCAATGACTCAGGAACATCCCAGAAACGTCCTTTATGGTCCAAAAATAAATCTGGCCAAGCTGCTTCCACAGTGAGATCATGTTTCTCAAGCTGCTCAGACGAAAGAAATTAGAAATGCTGAAACACTTACAAAGGATCCATCATAAGGTGGAGTTGCTTACCGGATGAACAAACATCAGCTTTTTCCGGAGTCCATCTTTATCGCCAGGCCGTTCAGCGCTCAGCAACAGAGAAGAAGAAGAACCTAGAGCAATCTGAGTCCATAAACCAACTGAGTAAAGGGATTTGTCTACAATGTGTTTTGTAGTTTGCTTGAAAAGTTGGAGATCCCACTCTTCTGCGTTTTTAATATTTGCTTTGATATCAGCAAAGAGCTTCTTTGGTTTAAACTGCCCAACCAATCCTAACCACCTACAATGATCGAAAGTCAAAGTTGAGTTTTTTTTTTTTAATTCAAAGTCTCACTCTCAGCGTTACTTACTCAAACACCAAAATTCAAAGTCATTTCGCCACTACGGTATGTAAAACAGCGGAGAGATTAAGGATTTTACCAGTTGGAAGAGGAAGGACTGAGCAGGAGAGAGTTGAGAGAGAAAGAGCCGAGCCTCTTGTCGGAAGAAGGAGCAAAAGAAGGGATGATTCCGAGAGGAAAGCCTTCGCGGAGAAGAGAGAGCTGCTGAATTCGGTGAGAGCGGCTGGCTCGAGCACCGTCGACGATAAATGGCTCACCGGGAACAGAACGAGCCGTGCCTTCTAGGGTTTGAGGTGAGGAAATGTTATGGTCCCAAAATACTGAATCAATTGCTGAGTTAAGATTCGCCATTTTCTCCGTTTCCTTCTTCTTCTTCTTCTTCCTTATCTCTCCTGTGTACCGAGCTGAGCTGAGAGGCAAAAGGGGTTTAAGCTTTAGCATGGGCCTTTTCAACGTTATGGGCTTCTTCGGTTGTTGTTAAATGGGCCTAATTCCTAACAGAAAAGGCTTCTTTTCATGGCTCGTCACCATCTCCTACGACCGGGTGTATCAGCTGGCGGATGATCCTTTATCGGATTCAATCATCTCATGGAGCAAAAGCAACCAGAGTTTCGTGATTCGATTCTTTCGTGAATCAGGAAAAGCTAATCCGATTCTTTCGAGATATCATTGCAACACGGTCAAAGAATTTATCTGAAGGCTTAACGTTTATGGTTTTAGGTGAAATTAAGGGGTCTGGGCAATGGGAATTCGGTAATAAGACTATTGTGAGAACTCAACCTGAATATGTCAAAGCTGTGATGGAGAGTTGATTTCTTGTATCGAGAATTTAGTGGCTTTGTAATCGAGATGATGCGTTTTGGGGCTTTTTAGACATTGTAATAACTCCAAAAAAAGTGTCAAATTACAAAATATCCAAGCAAAAGGGTTTTAAAGGAAACTGAAACTCCTTAAAAGAGTCACCAGTGCTCTTCAAACAGAACTGAATTTATTTGCATATCCCATCATTCAGTAAAAGAACTTGAGAGAACCTCATTTCAAAATTAAAAAAGGGCAGAGACGAAAGGAGAACCCTTGAGAAGCAATGATTTAGCTTGACATTGGATGATTGTAAACATATTCAATGGCGAGAGAGCAAGAATCGATCTTGTCAGCTTCTTTGTCTGGAATTTCCAGCTTGAATTCCTCTTCAATTGCCATCACTATCTCCACAGTGTCCAAACTATCTAATCCCAGATCTTTTTGGAAATGAACATCAGGAGTTACCTGCCGGATTAGTTGTGTGACAATTCATCAATAAAAATTCTCTCCAATCGAAGAAATCTAGAGAACGAGCTGACACATTTGTATGACTTCACAACAAAAAGGATTCTTTTATCTATCCGAAACATGAATGCAAAATCCATAACATTGACTATAAATCTGAAGCATTACTAGACCACTGAAGAAATCTAGAGAGAGCTGAACATTTTGTATGACTTCACAACAAAAACACGAATGCAAAATCCTGCTTACTTGAACATTTTATATCATTCAAACTCATGGCAGAAACAGCAAATCTGAAGCAGTAGCAACTTACTAGAACAATGACATCAAAAATCCTAAATTTTTAAGATTCCATAGGTTGTAAATTTTCAATAGAGAAATGAGAATGAATCAAAAGCTACGACAGACTTTCCATTGACAGAGATTAGAGCCAAACAAACTGATTTCGTTCCAATAGTGTGGAAAACAAAAGATATGAACCACGAATTGATCCAAATATATTGCAGGTCTAATCCGAGTCTGAATATTGAGCTAAATCAGGTGTAAAATTTTTTAGGAAGATAGAACTGACCTTAGCGGGATCGACTTTGGGGAAGCTCTTGACAACATCAAGAACTCTATCGACGACATCCTGCTTGCTGAGATGATCATCGTGCGAAGAAAATGAACGGATCGAAGCAAGGAACCCAATTTGAGACTGATTCGATCCTGTCACTGATAGGCTTTGCACCGGAACCCTCAAGTGACGAAGAATTGCAGTTCTCAGCGCCATTTCCGTCTCTTCGAGCTTGAGATTTAGGGATTTGATGAGACACGGAGGTGTGAAGAATGCGAAAGGTTCAGGTCATACGAGAAAGCACGTTCTTGTCACGTGCCCGTTACTATAAGCCCAGCTCAAGTCCCTTCGTGGGCCTTCATATAGTTTGTAATGGAGCCCAATAATATTTTGTAAAATTTTATAATCTGCATCCAACTTCCTTATATTGTAGATTATACCCAATAGTTTCTACCTTCACATGAATGACCCATTTTGTTTCCTCGAATAGACATCAGCTTACGAATAATAAACACACTAATACAGTAATTGCAATTGCAGAGGCACAGAGCGACGGGATCTCTCCGGCATATATTGGAAACTCTTCACAGCGAGATCTCGACGTATCTCAGATCCGTTAGGCTAGTTTGATCTTGAGGAATCATGGCTCCGGTCTCGGCACTCGCCAAGTATAAGCTGGTGTTTTTGGGAGATCAATCCGTCGGAAAGACGAGTATCATCACTCGATTCATGTACGACAAATTCGACAACACTTACCAGGTGATTCATTTTCCCGATCTAGGTGTTATCTTGACGATGCACGATGTTGGATGGTTTTTCGGAGATTGTAGTCGGGAAAATTCCGGGTTTGGTTGATATTGAGATCCATCTTCGGGATTTTGTGTTTACTGTTAGAAGTTCTGATTCATCTTCCTGATTTCGCGTTCGATTCTGTGTAGTTATGTGTGATCTGATTTGTAGATCATGTTTAATGCATGGGACGTAGCAATCAGCAGAATGATCATGTGCGATCTCCTTTAACCCCGTAATTTTGGCTTGTAATCACTGTCGATTGCTATTCATATTCGAGAATTCAGTATCTTCGAAGATCGTAGTAACGCGAGCGAAATTTGATTATTTTTTCCGAAGGTGTTTCCATGATCTGTTATCATTGTTTATCTAATCGAAGTTATTCTCGAATGATGAATGAAAGCATCTGATCTTGATTTGTGGATGTGATGATTACGTTTAAGCTCCTAATAGTAACTGAACCATGCTTGCTTATCATCATTATACCCAATGTTCTTCCTTTTGTCGGTAGTTTATGTGGTTTCATTTCATGTATTTTCAGGCGACAATTGGCATTGATTTTCTATCAAAGACAATGTACCTTGAAGATCGAACTGTCAGACTGCAGCTGTGGTAAGAATTGGAACCTCAATTAATTTTTGAACACTGAGGAATAACATTGCAGATCATGATTTGATAATTAACATTGAGAGCCGAGACATATGACAGGGATACAGCAGGGCAAGAGAGATTCAGGAGTCTTATTCCGAGCTATATCAGGGATTCATCTGTTGCTGTTATTGTGTATGATGTTGCGAGTATGTGGACCACTGCTTTTTTCTCTGCTTTCTAATTTTTTCAAACATATGCATACTTTCCCATACTTGCGATGTTGCGGCTGTGATATTCAGTAACCTTATGCGTAAATTGCGTTTCGATTTCCTAGTTATCCCGATCCATCAAAATTTGGCATTGTGAAACTTGAACATTATTTGATTTCCATTTGACATATAGGCAGGCAATCCTTCTTGAACACGACTAAATGGATCGATGAAGTTAGGACAGAGCGTGGTAGTGATGTCATAGTTGTGCTTGTGGGAAACAAAACTGACCTTGTTGACAAAAGGTAATAATGATCTACTATCTCTTCCTGTACATTTTCTTGCTAAACGCTGGTGTGCAATATAAGCATTTGAGACTGAAAATTTGGCAGTAATCCTCCTTGTTTAAACATGGTCAAGTTTGCTAAGTATGTTTCCATGAAGAATGCGTGTCTTTTGTACTAAAGTACTAACCATTGTTAAATCACGTCTTACTTTTCGGATGGGATTGAGTATGTTCCCAAACGACCCAACACAATAATAAATGGAAAATCATTTGGTGCTCAACTGCATATAATCAAAGGGTTTCTTTATGGTCAACACGCTTGACACTTAATGGTGTTTACTGTTTGTTACTGGCAATGGGGCCTTCCTAATAAATTGTTTGTTTCTCAGGCAAGTGTCAATAGAGGAAGCAGAAGCCAAGGCTCGTGAGCTTAATGTAATGTTTATCGAAACCAGTGCCAAAGCAGGCTTCAACATAAAGGTTACTAAGATCTTCTCTTCACATATATCTGAGAATTTATTGGACAACAAAGAAAACTCGTGTCTACATTCACCTAAACCTGAACATTGTTTAGACCCATCAATAGTTGGTTAACCTAGACTTTTATAACCGACCTGCTGATTAATAAAGAGTAAAGACTAATTAGTTTAACATTATTTTGCTAGGCGCTTTTCCGCAAGATAGCAGCAGCTTTGCCCGGAATGGAAACACTGTCTTCGACAAAGCAAGAGGATATGGTTGATGTCAATCTCAAGTCTTCTAATGCAAATGCATCTTCGGCTCAGCAGCAATCAGGAGGATGCTCTTGTTAAAATTGGCAACAACCACAACAAATTGATATGGAACAAAACACACACAAAAGAAGTCCTCGAGCCTCCGCATAATCAGATCCGTTACTATCTACCATCTGTAAAATTTTTGCCTGCTTTATCTTTCTTTTCATCAGATTGTTTTAAAAGGAAGAGGCTTTGTTTTTAGTTTATGGTTTGTCCTTAACTCTAAACTTTTGTGGTCTTTGGAGTTTCAAATGTTCTGCATTAGTACTTTTGTTTGCTCTTTTTTATTAAACAACTATAAAATTGTGATTTTGCCCGTCTTTGAATTGAATTATATATTTGAGAGCTATGCAAAAAACATGTGTAGACAGGTGAAAAGAAAAAGAGGCATAGAATTGTTTTTTCTTATGATCCGCACAACGTAACAGAGAATTAAGTTCGAACACATGTCTTTTGGTCAGACCACATTAATGAGCTAATTAAATTCAAAGTCTCGCTGTTCCCAGGTATTTCCCCGGTTCCATAAGTTTTTTCGTCCCGAACCCGAAAAAATTAAGTATTTTTCTTGTTTAATAGCTCTGGTGGCCTAATGCAGTCGGAAAGATGGTTGGGCCTAATTTTGTATTATTCCAAACTATGTCTATACACGGCAATTATTTTTCTTTCCTTGTCGATTTATGATTTGTACTAATTGGAATTTCTGACGAAGTTCATAGCAGAATAATAGCGTTAATTAAATGACTTAAATTTGGCTGGTTATACCCCAAAAATAATAACTAACATTTTTGTTTTCAGGGTCAACGTATTTTGTTCACAAGTGGACGAGAATTTACGTCTAGTGAATAACATGTTATTTCAATAATTTTGTGAAGTTATTACTGACGCGTAGTTTTAGAAGAAGAGAAACAGAATCTTGTACGATTGTTTTTCTTTCGTTCCACCTGAGACTTAATCGTAACCTGTTAAAACTGAGTATTTATCTAATGACAATTCATATTTAAGATATCTAGCAAATTGCCCATACTACAGAATTCAACAATTGTAGTTTATTTGTTATTTTCCAACTCCTAAAACACAATAATGGCTATAATTAAAGAGACCCCCTCAAAAAAAAAACAGAATGAGTAACTTGAAATCAATGAAGAAGTAGGTGAGAGGAGATGGTAGAGCCACGAAAGACTATTTTCCCCTCAAACTCACTCATTAAATGCCAACTTCCCTTTTATGACCGTTGATGGTGTAAGAAAGATGACGAAATATCAAATTACAATTAAACCCATAGATTGATAAAGAGTGTATATATATATTCATTCACGGCTATGGACCCACCGAATTTAAATCTAATTGGACCCAACTCGTATCTCAATTTTTATTAAACTCATAGTCTTTAGTCTTTTTTTTTTGGTGCTAATACTTTTTTTTTTTTTTTTTTTTTTTTGGTGCTAATACATGGTCTTAGTCTTTACTCTTTTAAAACCTTTGAAACTCTCTAAGATGGTACTTGGATCTTTAAAAAAGTCGTCATCTCTCGTCGAAATTGGATACCTATGTGGCTATGTTATGGATCTATTCTTAGCTTTCCTTTTATAAGTTTGATGTGTCTAGTGATACTAGGATTTCTGAATGGTTAATTTTGACTTTTCCATGTCTAGGAGAAGTGAGGAAGTGTTTTTAAAAATGGTAAGACTTTGCTTTCTCGATCAAGGGAAACACAAGGGTATGTATCACAATTATTACCCACAAAGCATTGGTTTTGGATTGAATTGAAAATTGAAAACTACCATAATAATTGCAATATTTTACAATTCTGACATGACCTAGTCATAGGTTTCTTCTTCTTCTTCTACATATCTGTCGTTTAGATTTGTACACCCAAAAAATTCTATCAAGTAAAAAAAAAAAAGCACGACATTGTTCGTCTAATCTCCTAAATAAATAAAAACAAACATATGCCCCTTCAATATACAATGTGACCAACATTATAATTTAACAAAACCAAAAACGAAAATTATCACTCTTTATCTGTTGGTATAGTAAAGCCACCATATAACTTTCATATGAATCTTGTGAGGGGTATTTTAGGTACTTTCGTATAGAACGGTCAGATGCTGACCCAAAAAAAATCAACGGCGGTGATCAACTCTTCCTAAATCGACAAGCTTCTTAGACCGGTTTGCGCAAAAAGACGCCGCCGTAGAAATGTGAGGCTTCGCCGGAGATTTCAGCTCACCGGAATATCCAAAATCCGGCGGAAATTTCCCTTTCCAGTTAGAAGAACAGTTAGGTTTAGCTCTCACTAGCGGACTCAAGCAGAAAGCCATCCCTGACACGCTCCTCCCTATCCCAATCGTCGCCGTCTTTCTCCTTCCCGGAGTTCCCATCGCCGGCGTTCTTCTCGCTCTCCCAGGAGATTCCTCGACGGATTCACGGTCGTAATCATTCGCCGCCGTATCTCCCGCCGGCGACATTCCTCTGCAATACCTATGTCTAGGTCGGTGTTGATGATGGTGATTGGATTCGGATGCGATCAAATCCTCGATGTAGCAATTAGTGTTGGTCGATTGTTTTTTCGATCGAACGGAGAGAACTTTCGATAGCCACGACCGTGACGACGAAGACGACGACGGTGAAAACGTAGACGCGTCGCAGGAATCGCGAGTTGAGAATTTCGTGCGCGAATCGTAATCCTCAGATCTCGTCCTGAAGAAGCTAGAGAACCGGGATAAACCGCTCCGTTTCTTCTTAAACGATCGACCGGATTCGAAGACTTTTTCCGATGACGATGATCCTCCTCCGCCGTAAGATTGATCCGTGTTGGAGCCAACCTGCGGCGTGGCGAAGAAGCGGCTATTAGACGAAGCTAAAGAGTCTCCTCCTCCGGCGTCGGATTTTCTTGGAGCAACATAAGGAGAAACAGAGCGAGGAAAAATCAGAGGAGGAGGAGAAATCCGCGAATGACGATGATGATCGTTATCGTCGTTTTCAGACGCGGCGGTTGAAGCGGCCAGAGAAAAGAGGCGTTCACGGAGACAAGAAGCGCAGACGCCGACTCTGCTACTGAAATCAGCTGTATGCCTCTTACACCTCATCGGAAAAAAAAATGAAAAAAACAAAATTACTCTGCAAGAGAAAATTAGAATTCTGAGAATTAGAAGAAGAAGAAGGAGAAGGTCTATTGAATTAAAAAAAGGATATTTTGTCTTCTTCTGACTCGGAGGTTTCTCTTTTAGAGAGAGTGAGGATCTATTGAGAAGAGAATCGCCGGAGTAAATGGAAATTTTCAGATTTGGTTCAAGAAGAAATAGAAAATACAATTTTAAGTAATAAAGGCTTGACACGTTAGCGTTTGGTTAAGAATTAAAAACCAATGTTTTTGCAAATGATGATGGATTATACTTATGGTTTAAGATAATCATCCATTTTTTATTAACGTCACTATAGTTATTTTTGTTGGGTGTGCTTGTAGTGGGAAGATGAACATTTCATAGTTTTGATGATTCCTATTGTCGTTGACATTGCTTTTTATTATTGTCAAAACATACATCACTTAATCACAAAATGGGCTATGTAATGATTAGCTTATTACTTAGAAAAAACTTTTTAAAAACTAAACGTCCTCTTAAATTGACTGATTAAAACCAATATTAAAACGGATTAGACTAAACCGTACTTAGGATATCGTTTGTCAACGCTATCTGAACGATTCGTGGACATTCCATGGAAAACTACCAAACAAAGTTATTGGTGGTTTCCTTTTATTTTGAACCAACACGTTTTAAATTTGTAAACAAATCATATATAGTCTATGTGCGTTGCTATTTTGAAATATTTATGGTAGAACTATGCTGAATAATAATATGATTGCGTAATGCAATGAAATCCAATCCACATTTACATGGAAAGTAATCCACTGTCGTTGAACTATTTGAAAAAAACAATCATGGAATAAATTTTGTAGTGGTGATTGTGGAAGAGGAACAAAAACAAAAATACAATAATAATAATTTATTGAATGTATATACATTTTATAAAAGGGAGAAGACAAGCATGTGACGGCAACAAAAAAGATGGGGGCTCGTGGATGGCGGAAGCCGACAAGTGTTAGGTGATAGAAGACGTCGTCGTTTTATGTATCCCACACGCTTGTTCGTCCGTTTCTTCTTGGGTTAGTCACGTGGCCTTGGACCCTTCACTTCAGGCCTTGCTCTCTTCGTTTTTAATAGGCCACTGAGCTTTTTTAATTGGGCCCACATCTATTTACCCTATTTTTTCGTTTAATTTGGTTGACTTAGCAAGGTCCAAAACAAACAAGAATGCGCTTAAATTTTATACCAAATTTTTGATTTTTTTATAGACAATACAGAGATACAAGGAAGAAAACAGAAAACCAAAATCTACTGACACACAAAAACAACAAAGAAACAACAGAAACACAAAAAAGCCAAAGATCCAGCAAGTAAGAGAAGAAAATTAAAACCGAAACCAAACAAGATGAGAAAGCAGCAATCACGTGCAAAAGCACAGACCATCACGTTTTTGCCGCAGCTCAAAGAACTGGAGTTCACATCATAGTTGCCACGAGCGTCCTTCCGAGGCCCGTCCTCTAACCACCGGAAAAAATACCTACAGCTTCTCCAAAAACTGACGCGATCTCCGAAATGCGTAACGGACTAAACTGCAACCGGTGACAAGGAAGTCTGAGCGGTAATCGGAGAAGTCACTTCCAACCACCATTCCCGTAGAAACCGAAGCCTCCATAGGGACCAACCTCCACAGCTATAATCTAACTGGACAACAGACCGGCGCCTCTACAATACACATCTCGAAAGGCTCCACTATCTACACTGAACCACGATCGGAGTCCTCACGAGTCAAGACCAAGACCAAACTGCGAAACTGCTGAGAATTGCTGATAACACAAACACACACCCACAGCGAAACCCGAGCCACAACGGTGAAAAGACGGCACCGGAAACTTCGTCGAACATGGTGAGAGAACAGCCGCTGAGCCACCCGCCTAAAACCACCGTCGAGAGACACTGTTGGTGGAGCCACACACGCCGGAAGAAACGAGAGCCACCACTCCGAGGCTAGCCACAAGCCAAACCTCTCCTGCGAAACCAAAACCAGAGACTGAACCCGTCCTCTAGGTCCGAATCGCTGCCGCTGGAGCCGAGGAGATCAAAGCCTACATCGCTATGAACAAAACGAGGCAGAGATGGACTTTAACTGGGGAGAGACGAACTACACCACCGAGGAAAATCGGAGAGCTCGCCGCCGGCGACGAGGACTCGCAAAGAAAAGCCGAAAGAGACCGTCGGAGGGAAACGCCGATGAACACCAAAGAAAACAAACCCCACCGAGATAGAACGACGCGAACGGCAGAGAGGCGCATCACCACAAGGAGATCGCCTTCCACCACCGCAATCCCAGAGACGCCACTGAAGCTCCGTCGCCGTCGAACGAAGACTACACACCGGAGAAACTTCACTTTGACGCCACACCGAGCCGACGGCCGAACTGAGACAAAACACCTAACAAACCAATACATTCTATTTGTTTTCACACGTCTATTTGTTTTCTACATTACTCTTATTGGTTTTTCCAAGAGAGACAAATTATTAAACCATACATTCTTACAGGATTCCACATCAATAAATCTATATTTACGCTGGGAATCGTTATTATTGCACTAGGAGATATGAGAAAGATAAAGGAAGGAGTCCATGTACCTTACCGTGACAGCAAGAAAGATGAAGGAAGGAGTACATGTACTTTACCGTGATAGCATGTTAACTCGTTTGCTTCAGGATTTCTTTGGTGACAATAACAAAACTGTGATGATTGGTATGAGTTTCACTTCTGTTAGCTTTTTGAAAACAATCTTGCATAATTTACTCTATTCACAAAATTTGTGTATTTCTTTGAGAAAAAAAATAATTGTGAACTTTTATACATAATCCCGATTTGCTATTTTTTGTTAAAAAAAATTCTATGGAATTGCAAAAAAAAAATAATTATGTTGTGTGATAGTAATAAGCTCTTAGAACTCCGAGTCTCAAACTTAAAATACAACTGGTTGTAATATAAGAATCACACTCGACATTGTTATATTAGGAAAAGAGATTTAAGAGTGTTACAAATATAATCAAAACATAAAACAGCAAAAGTGACACTATGATCAAGAAGTTTTGCAAGCTTCAAAATCATTTTTAAAGCCATTGTTCATTTTCCACCGTCCCTGCATAAAGCCCAACGTTCAGATTCTTGAATCATAGTTAACATCCTCTGCTCGTTCAGGAATTGCGTCCTTGCTTTGCTGAGAGCTGAGTTTGGTGATTTAAAAAACCTCTGCCACAAATCATAGAAAATAAATGGGATGAGAACATAAAATACAGGTCATGGTTAGTACTGGAAAATAATTTCTGCGTACCAATTAAAGGAACAAATAGTAATGGAAACAAACCTTTTCGTCACTAGATATAATAGTGGCACCAATCTTCTTTGGAGTGAAACTAAATACATCATGAAGGAATTCATTCTCCTGGTTGCCAAAATGAATGAAACAGTCAAGCGTCAGGGTTTAAAGCCTAAGAGAGAGTGGTAACTTGGAAAGAAAGGCAAATACGAAAACAGACCTGCATATGCTTGATTAAGCCATCCCCAAGGAAATGCTTCAAAAAATTGAACTGTTGGAAAAGCAACATATGTTAAAATTAACCAGTCACAAGAAAAATAGACAAAGAAAAGAACACAAGTCCTATAAAGATTTGAGAGAAACCTGAATCATCTGATACCACGTTCTTGTCTGTAAAGAGTTCCCTCCGACCTTTGTAGATGTTTCAGGTGCGTATCCACCCTAATGATCATAATTAAGTCAAAAACAAAAATAAAAATCCGACAAGAAGAGTCAAACATAAACTCATCAGGAGCGTATAACAAAGAGGAATACCTCAAGAAATACAACAAGATCTCTGAACAAATTTCGTTGGGCGTTGAGATCTTTCTTAGCAGAACCTTTACCACCTGCCTCTACAGAGAGGTCTCTAGCTTGATTGGTGACTTTAGATTTCAAGCCATGCATGTTAATCAATGCATCCTGAGACACACTTGCTTCTTTCACTGATCCATTAGCACACCCTTTGGCTTGGGCAGCAAACTTCTCTAGAGTTCCCAACTCAAATATAAGAGCAAGCGCTTCACCAGCAGCTATACGTACAGACCGGTCATCCTTTTCCAACAGTGAGGAGAGATAAGTTACGGTCCTGCAATGATAACATCAAATATATCTAATCAGCTTATGAATCCATTAACAAGTGAAACTAGGTCAAATAAATGCCCGAAGCTCCACTTACTCTTGCCAAATTTTAGGACCTAGGGTCCATCCATCAACTGTTGTGAGCAGAAACGCCCAGGAAGCGACAACACTAGTTACTACAGCAGGTGAAGGTTTTGTTGAAACAACCTACACAAATTGGCAATTTACATGTTAGCCTACTATAATCTTTAGATTCAATTAATAACATTTGTATAGATTTCATATGAAAAAGAGTAATTACGATGCATACATTAGAACCTAGCTTGGGGTGAATCATTTGCCATATTATTTGCATAGATCTCTCGGTTTGCTCTGCATTGGTCCCACCAACAAAGGTTATGATTGCTAAACACTCAAGAATCGAAGTTATCTTCAAGGCTTCACGACCAGATTTAAGGGCCTGAGAAAGAGGAGTGACGGATTCTTCCAGAATCTCTTGTGCTGGATCCCCGAGTCCAACAGTCAATGCTAGCAACCCTGGAAACACCACATTAACTGTTAGTATTATATAGCTCAAAATTAAAGAAACACTGCATAAGTAATACTCAGAGACACTAACCAATAACATGTGATGCTAATGAGGTCTCCTTACTGGACCCTTTCTTGGTACAGTGTAAACACTGATGCAATAAAGTGGCAAAGTTCTTTTCTACAAAGTCATGCTGCAGGTCGCTGTTGAATGCGACAATAATGGAGGTCAAAGCTTGCTCTCTCGTTGAACTCCTTTTCTCATAGAGAGCATCAAGTGATTGATCCAACATAACATCTTTCTGAACCTGAACTTCATCCATGCAGACACTACTTGTATCATCGTCACTATCAAACAAATCCATCGGGGCCTTCTTACGCTGAGATCCTGCAATATCTCCAGCGAAGTGAATTTTAGTTTCGTATGTCAAACGAAATCAACTTCCCAACCACACCAAGAAACCAAACTAGTAATAAAACTTTCAACGAATTCTAACGAAAGCAAATCAGAGATTTAGAAGTAAATTAATATCGAACGCAACTGAAACTAAATCAAAGAAATAAAGGTTAAATCGAGCTAAATTCAATGTTCAAAAGAAGCTTACTCTTCTCCATCGTTTCCTAGATCAAATCAAAAGCAACTTCTGACGGAGTGGAAGAAGTTTATAAATCTCGGAAGTTAATTTTCTCTTAAGGTTATTATTAATGATTCTCAAAAAGCAAGTGTCTCGTCACAATTGAACAAGTTATATATATAAAGTTTTTCTCTTATGGTTCCTAACGAAGCTATAAAATACAAAACCAAGTTCGAAAAGGAAAAAGTAGATGAAAAGGAAAACACTTGAATGATGTTAAAGAAAAAAGGAAATAGCTACATGCGCTGCATCAGATATTCAGATTCTCAACCAATATAAAGTCTACGAAAGAAATAACCACATCTACGCAAATATTGTCTGCAATTATTTGAATAATGCGTTTTGTTTAAAGAAGATATACATAACGAAATATTATATGTAAATTTTTGAACATAATCAGATAATGTTACTTATTTCGTTTTCAAAATATAAACAATTGGTCTTTCGAATCTTGAAGTAGATAAAACTTGAAATTATATATTACCAAGATAGAGAGATTTAATTGTATTTGGTTTGGGATAAACGTGTTATTATTACTAAAACATATCCAAAGTAATTATTAGCATCAGCCATTTATGATTAATAAAAAATAAATAAAAGAAAGAAAGAAACGTAAAATTATGAGATAAGATTTCAGATTTCTTTTGTATAAATGGTAAAATATCAAAAATTAAATGCTCTGAGTCAAATTTTATTCAAAGTTAAAAAAAAAAAACTTTAATTGGTTTTGGCTTTTGTTTGGTTAATCATATTGAAAACGCCCGCTCTCTCTCTCTCTCTCTCTGTTTTCTCGTTTTCCCCAACTTCCTTCGTTGGTCGCGAAATTCAAGCACTCTTCTTCTTCGTCTCTGTATTTCTTCTATCGAAACGGGAAGGTGAAAAAAAAGAAGATGGACAGTGTGATCGGGTTGGTTAACAGGATGCAAAGAGCATGCACTGGTCTCGGCGATTATGGCGGCGGTAACAACGCTCTCTCTTCTCTTTGGGAAGCTCTTCCTTCCGTCGCCGTCGTCGGTGGCCAGGTTTCGTCTCATCGTAATAACTCTAAGACTTAGGTTTTTCTCTTAAGCTTTGCTTTTTTAAGCCTTTTGTTTCTTCTTCTTCATGAGTGTAGAGCTCTGGGAAATCATCGGTTCTTGAGAGTATTGTCGGGAGGGATTTTCTTCCCAGAGGATCAGGTTTGTGATTTTTAATCTCACACTTTTGGTTTTCACATTTGATAAATGGAAAAAGGAGACTTATTAGAGAGGATAAATTTTGTTTTATTTATATATTCAGGTATTGTTACGAGGCGGCCTTTGGTGTTACAGCTTCAGAAGACGGAAAACGGAACAGAGGAATACGCCGAGTTTCTCCACCTTACCAATAAGAAATTCACCGATTTCTGTATGTACCTATATATATATATATATGTGTGTGAATGTGTTTGTTTTTCTTGGCTATAGTGAATCCATCATATTCATGTTAGCTTTCGTGTCACACAGCTTTGGTTTGCAAGGAGATTCAGGATGAGACTGATAGAATCACTGGGAAGAACAAACAGATATCTCCTGTTCCTATTCACCTCAGTATCTTCTCTCCCAATGGTTGGTTAACCATCTCAAATCCATGGATTATTTACCTTCTATGATTATGCTCTTTTACTTCAGCCAATTTTTATAAAAAAAAATCCAACTAACAATATCAGTTTTTCTTTCTGTTCTTCTTTGAAATACACAGTTGTGAATCTTACTCTGATTGATTTACCTGGTTTGACTAAAGTTGCTGTTGGTATGTCTTATTTGTCTCTGCCTCTTTTGGATCTCCTTATATTTTTGTTTATTGCTCCGTGCTTTTGTAGTAACTTGTTGACATTGTCAAAATTTGTTTCCAGAAGGACAGCCAGAAACTATTGTTGAGGATATCGAATCTATGGTTCGCTCATATGTCGCAAAGGTGAGAGTATTCTTACACTTTCTTTGGCTTGGTGATTCTGTTAAGTTAATATATCGATCCTAGTCACTTGTCTTGTAGTTTGAAACTTATGATCATTATGCTTTTATTAGTTTTTCAATATGTTTTTCATTCCCCCACACAGCCCAACTGTCTTATACTAGCAATATCTCCTGCCAACCAAGACATAGCCACATCGGATGCGATCGAGCTCGCCAAAGAAGTGGATCCAACAGGTTTGTTTGTTTATTTGTTCAGCAAATTCATGCTGGTGGTTTCTCTAGCTAAAGCTTATGATACGGTTTTCTCACTTTCTCATTGCCCTAGGCGATAGAACCTTTGGAGTTTTGACAAAGTTAGACTTGATGGACAGGGGAACTAATGCATTGGATGTAAGTGTTTTCCCAAGTTTCACTCTTTTTCTTCTTATCCAATTCTCTTTTTTTCTTTGAAGTAGTTATGTAGGAATTTTTACCTGCCTGATGACCATTTCGAGTCTTACACTATGATTGAATCTTTTCCTGGTTAAGGTCATCGAAGGAAAGTCATACAGGATGCAGTATCCTTGGGTTGGGGTGGTGAACCGTTCACAAGCAGATATTAACAAGAATATTGATATGATGCTTGCGAGAAGGAAGGAGCGAGAATACTTTGAAACCAGTCCTGACTATGGTCACTTAGCCTCTAAAATGGGCTCAGAATATCTTGCAAAGATGCTCTCTAAGGTTTTTACTCAATGAAACCCCTTTAACACGCATGAGCGAGCTCAGCTTTTGGTCGTTCTGTTTTAATTATGATCTTTTGTTTTTTTTTTCTTTTTTGTTTTTCCTCAGCTCTTGGAATCAATTATCAAGGCTCGTATTCCAAATATCATATCCTTAATAACCAAAAGCATCGAGGAACTCGAAACAGAGTTAGATCGGTTGGGTAGGCCTGTCGCTATTGATGCTGGAGTGAGTACATACATTTTCAATGAGATTCTTTAATCTTTCCCCTTACTCTATATATCTGCGGTATGCTTAAAATTTGTTGGTCTCAGGCTCAAATATACACTATTTTGGGAATGTGTCGTGCATTCGAAAGAATATTCAAAGAGCATTTGGATGGAGGGTAAAAACATCTCATCTTTCAATCTTTTTTTTTAGTTCCCTCCAAATTTCTTGTAATGGTGGATTAACTCTTGTCTAAACTTTTGAATTTCAATAAAAAATTCTTAGGCGTCCTGGAGGTGCCCGTATATATGGAATCTTTGATAACCAGCTTCCTGCAGCCATTAAAAAGCTTCCTTTTGATCGTCATCTTTCATTGCAAAGTGTAAAGAGAATTGTCTCAGAATCTGATGGCTATCAACCTCATTTGATTGCACCTGAATTGGGTTATCGTCGTCTCATTGAAGGATCCCTAAATCATTTTAGAGGTCCAGCTGAAGCTTCTGTGAATGCTGTAGGTTCTTTTCCAGTTCACATGTTTTTTCATCAGTATATTATTTATATGTAACAAGACCGTTACGAATGTGATTGTACCAGGTACACTTTATCTTAAAAGAGCTTGTAAGGAAATCGATCGCAGAAACTGAGGTGAGATTGTTATGTTAGAGAGAGTGAGTAAATATATATATATAGAGGAAAAAGGGCTTATTGAATCTTTGTTTGGTAAACAATGCAGGAGCTAACACGGTTCCCTTCGCTACAAATTGAGCTAGCTGATGCAGCAAACTCATCTTTAGAGATGTTTCGAGAGGAAAGCATGAAATCGGTTCTTAGATTAGTCGACATGGAGTCTTCATATCTAACGGTCGAGTTCTTTCGTAAGCTTCATGTAATGGAAACTACACAAGGAAACCAAACACCGTCTCTGTCTTCACAACCACAACCACCAATGACAACAACAGAGCAATACGGGGAAGGACAGTTCAGAAAGATAGCTTCGAATGTAGCTGCTTACATCAACATGGTTTCGGACACACTTGTTAAAACCATTCCTAAGGCCGTTGTTCATTGCCAGGTCAGACAAGCGAAACTCGCTTTGCTCAATCACTTCTACACACAGATGAGTCAGAGTCAGGTATGTTTCTTACTTACTCCGGTTAAGTTCGGGTTTGTGTGTTTGGTTTAGGGTTTGAGGATGGGTTCATGTTCTTTTTTCGCAGGGGAAACATTTGGGGCAGTTGCTAGACGAGAACCCGGCTTTGATGGAAAGGAGATTGCAGTGTGCAAAGAGGCTCGAGCTATACAAGAAGGCTAGAGATGAGATTGATGCAGCGGTCTGGGTTCGATAACCAAGCTACATGTCTCTCGCTTCCTGTGATTTAATGGTTTCTTGGTTTAGTTAACAACTTAAAGATATACAAATAGTTCAGATATATAGACCAGAACGAGCTATGACAGGATTCGTTGCTTCCAAAGTTGTGGTTATAGATTCTAATCGTTTTGTTTTATATCTCCGTCTTTATTAAAATTCGAATTGTTGATACGACCCACATCTCTTCATCGGAAGCCATCTTATCGTCGTCGGAATCAAATTCCTGAGATTTTCCGACGAACGGTGCTGTAGTCTTCAGTGAGACTAGTTAAGCGAAATTTGGGAACTGTGGGTTATCTTAATGCCGTGGCGTTTTACAAGAGTGATTACAGACTGGGCGCCGTTTTCGGTCTAAGCCTTTTCTAGTTTGGGCTTTTTAATGACTTGGGCCTTCTGTTCTGTTAAGCGGAAAAGAATCAAAACAGAAACCTACGCGCCTGAAAATGGCGGTGGACACAAGGCGGGAAACTGTTCAGCGGAAGAGCCCTAGCGAAAAAGTTCAATCTCTATTCCTGAATCCTGCGATTCGGCAGTTTTATCAGGTTCGATTTCCCAATTCATGTAGCATCTTGAGTACTTTGTATTTTTTTATCGTGAATTTGATTTTTCGAAAAAAAAAAAATCTGATTTCTCTGGTTTTCCGATTTCATTTCAGTCGCGAGCTCCGATTCCATATAAGGCTTCGTCACGATATTAATCAGTGAGCGAAATATTCATATTCGCTTTGATTTCTGTAATTTTACTGAAATTCTAGTAATGGAAGAAACTGGGATAAATGGAGGAGCTCAAGCAGTTATAAATCTGGGAATTGGATCTTCGGTGCCAATTTCGTATCATTCATGTTTTGGGCCTCATGAGGATCTACTTCTTCTTGAAGCTGATAACAATCTTGTCTCAGATATCTTCAATGGAAGGTAAAATTTCAAAGCTTTTGCTTTGATTTTGCAGTTTATAATCGAATCGATTTCCAGAGAAAAGTCATCTCAATTATAATCAAATGAAGTGAAAAAAAAAAAATTAACTTTGCATGAGATGCTGTTTCGCTTGTGTTGTTAGAGGTTTTAAGAGTTACTCAGGTTGTTCTCATTTATCTTCAGGGTAACCTTGAGGGGACTTCCTGATGAAGATGCCGTTCTCTGCATCAAGTCTAAGACTTATGCAATCAAATTTGTTGGTAATTCCAATTCCATGTTCCTTATTCCTCCATCAATTTGCCCCGGTTTCCTCGAAGATTCACATGTTTCCGGTTCGAACGATAATGGTAAAGTGTCTGTCATCAAAATTGCTCCTGGTAACATGGAGCTTGTTGAGGTTTCTCCTAGGCTTGACAAACTCAAGCAGCTTCTCTTGGAAAACCCTTTTGGTGCTGGTGAAGTAGAAGCCATGATGGATGATGACGACTCGGACCATAACGGAAAGAGAGATCTAGCGTTATACACATGGAGAGATTTGGTTAACACAATTCAAGCCAGCGACGAAGAATTACGCAATGGCTTGCAGAGTGTTTCCGCTATTGAGATTGATGGTTACTGGAGGGTTGTAGATGAGAATTACCTAGACATGATTCTGAGAATGCTCCTTCACAACTGTGTACTGAAAGATTGGTCATTTGATGAACTCGATGAAGAGGATGTCGTGAGTGTGTTAGTAGCTGATGAGTTCCCTAGTAAACTCGCGAGTCACTGCTTGAGCGTATTTGGCTCTAAGGTAAACGAGACTGATAAGTGGAAGCTGGAACCGAGGCTGGTATGCGTGCACTTTGCTAGACAGATACTGAGAGAGGAGAAGATGAGACTGGAGAGTTTCATGGAAGAGTGGAAGAAGAAGATTCCAGAAGGTATGGAAGGAAGGTTTGAGATGCTTGAAGGAGAGGTTTTAACAGAGAAAATCGGGATCGAGACACGGGTTTATACATTCAGTGTACGTTCTCTCCCATCAACTCCAGCAGAACGGTTCTCTGTGCTCTTTAAACATAGACCAAAATGGGAGTGGAAAGACTTGGAGCCTTACTTGAGGTAATTATCCAATTTTGTGATGTAACTTATTATTCATCAGAAGATGAGCTTTTGATTTTATGAATTGATTTGAGTTCTTAGTCTTTCTTTCTTTTTCTTCTTTTGTTATTACAGGGATCTTCATGTTCCTAGAGTTTCTATGGAAGGTTTGCTTCTGAAATACACACGCAGAGCACAACCTAGAGCTGATGCACAGCCTGTCTTTAGTGCAAGATAGATAGATTCTCTATTTCTAAAGTTTCATCTTTGTTTTGTGTTATTTTTGATGTTATAATTTGTGAAATTAATAATTGTCACAAAATCGTTCAATTTTTTTATCTGCATATGCTTCTTTTTTTGGGCCAAACACTTATTCTCTGAAAACTATATTTATTTGGCTGGGCCCGAAAATTTGAAGAGACTTGATCTGGTTGTCAGCTCATAAATATACAGAAGAACGTTAAATAAATGGAAAACGTTTTTATTTTTGTGCAGAGAAAGAGACTTTTGTGTTGTACTTTGTTTGAAAATTAGAAGCAGGAAAATGGACTACGTTACATGTGTTGAGAGGGTTTCTAATTTTTATTCTTAATTTTATTCTTAGGGAGGGTTTGTTGCACCAGCTTTTCGTTATTTAACTATAAACGAGCTTTGTATATTAATAAACTAATCAATCTAAGCTCAGCTCAATTCTCTTTCTATGTATTTTAGCATCGTTAGATAAAACGTAAGACTCAAGAATTTGCATGACTAGTGACCATTTGAAATATTTAATGATTAGATTACTAAGTCAAATTGAAGAAGCATTCGATCAAAATTGACGAATTTTTTTGACATCTTGGATTAGTAAGTGCTTAGAAACTACATCAGATTAGATCATCACCGTTCATTTCATCCAGATAACCCCACAATGTAAATCAAGACCGTTCATTTTATCAAGATAAACCCTTATATATACACCTTCACAAAACAGAGCTTCGTTAGTTGTGCCAAAACCGCAAAACATTATCTCTGAGAAAACTTTAAATTTTCTCACGAATGTTTACTGAATCTGTGATTAGATTTTCTCAATTGATCGGCGAATGCGTCATCATCGTCTCCGTCGTCGTCTTCTCTCTCCGTCTGTTCCTTAGATTCGCTTCCTTCCTCGCGAGCCGTCCATGGCGTCGCTACCGTACATTCACGATTCGCCGCCGGAGATGGGGGAAGATAACGGCGGAGGAAGAACATTCATCACCGTACTGTGCGATTTGTCTCCAAGACGCGGCGGAGGGAGAGAAGATGAGGAGGTTAACGGCGTGCAGCCACTGTTTCCACGCCGATTGCATCGATCCGTGGCTGGAGAAGCGGTCCACGTGTCCTCTTTGCAGAGCTCAGATCCCGCCGGTGCCGCCGGGAAATCCTCTGATTGCGTTAATTGTTCCTCCCGGCGTGATCGAGTTGTTCACCAAAGGAACCATCGTCTCCGATGCGTAGGCTTTAGCTCTTTTCGTCATCATTACATTCATTAATTTATTAATGAAGACTTAAACTGAGTGTATCAATTTCTTAGATTGTTAGACGAATTTTTTTTATTTAAAAATATTTATACAGACACATAGTCGTGTAATTCTCAATGTATTTATTGTACTTATCACTCAGAAAAAAAAGGCAAAGTTTCACTACAAAAAACTTCTAAATTTAATTTCTTATCTTTTGGGAAAAAAAAAACAGTTTATATCTACTCCAATATGTAGCAACAGTAATTTTTATACAGCCTGAAATTTTTAAACTCCAATATGTTAGACGAAAGAAAAATACCTCAATATGTAATGCTGTGGAAAATCATCTACATTTATGAATAATTAGATCTATATATGTTATGGGTAAAATATATTTATTTTGAATTTTTCTTAGAAAATCATCGTTTCTAAGAAATATATATATATATATATATATAAACGTATTGTTGGATAATAATAGTATACGGTTATAGCAATAACATACAAGTTGGCAAATTTCGATTTGTTTTCATCAACATACAAGCTAATTTGTATTAGTGTCGTTTATGTATTACTATCTGAGTTTAAATGCGATGGAGTGAGTGAGGGTGAATTGTTGAAAAGAGAAGAAAAACAAACCTCCACCAAATTTAGTCACCGAATAAAGCTAGATAATGATAGTATTAATTAGTGTCCATTAATGTCTTTATTATAAGTACACTCCTCGTTACGTTTACAAATTTCTTACCAAACCCACCACCTAAAAAAGTTGGTCCAAGTCTCCAACAGTTGGTTTTAGTCTTTCAAAATTATGATTTGGTGAACAACAAACATTTATGTAAGACTTCTAAGTAATAATCTAGGAATTCTTGTATTTTCATAGAATATATATAGCCATTTTCTATAGTTTTAGTTTGATTATGAAAATTTTTTTCCCATATGACTTATGCACTAGTTTTAGACCAATATTATCATTCGAACTTAGTAGTTTTAACTTATTGCGAACCTCTCTTTTCATTTATCACACACTTTAGTCGTCGCTTAAATTGCCTCCACATAACTAGCATCAAGCAACGGTGTCACTATTAGTCTGTTACAAGGGAATCTCGTCTTCTTATTTACAAAACTAGGTTTAATGTTTCGATTTCTTGTGTAAAAAGTAGAAAGTTTGATTTAGCAAAATATATCTCTGGAAATAAAAACAGTGTGACAAAGAAAGAATAAATTAATGTTGTATTAATAATGTATTATGAAAATCTCTACACACCTTTCATGGACATTATAAATAAACTAATGAAGAATTATTTTTTTATTCAATCTCGATTCTGTTTGTTTTTATTTTTTTAAGATTTATATCCAATACTAATTGATTTTGGTTCAGAGTTTCGAGATGAAACGTAGTTTTTGAACTTGGTACATACTCACCACTCACCAGTAACCACTTATTATCGGGATGGAACCCATGAACTCCATAAGTGTGATGTACTGATGTATTATTACTGTTTGTATGCCAAAGTGACAACTATGTTATTATTATTCACGGATCCAACGTGTTTTCACGTGCCATAACATTTTAAGTTGCCATGAAAGAAAAGAATAAATGCATTTCCGGAAGAGAAATCAAAACACGACTCTTCTTCATCTACAAGCAACAGTACTACAACTATAATTTTTCTATATTTCTAATGGTCTTACATCACTTCAACCAATAAAAAGTTGTAAGTTGGTCTCGTCTCATTTAACCTCATAATCTCTTCAAAATTTTTTTTTTTTGGGTACATTGTATAAAAAATCAAGCATTTTAAAGCTGTAGAGGGTATAAGTTTTTCCAATGCTCAAATTCTAATAATTATGGAGCGAAAGATAGTTCGGTAGACAATCATGGTCTCTTCTTATTCAGGATGTGCTCGATTCCAGTTGAGAATATTCACTCTTGGAACGTGTATCAAGTAACAGTTCCATATTTTTTGTCTATCTTTTTCGAGTTAGGGTATGTGGAATATCTATCTATCTTAAAGTACTTGAGATATATTTAAGAATTTTTTTTTATTAATCCTAGGTTACGTACGCTTTTACACTTATAGTTTTGTGTCTCGAGCCAATAATTCTTTTGTTTGACAAAGGGTTGACATTAATTAATTGAAATCCAGAATTCTTATTATATTACATTGGGAGTTATTACAACTCTTGTTATTCAGTTTCTTTGCCATAAAATTAGGAAAAATATGAGACTGCGTAATGTTGGTACAATCCACTGAAACTTTGAACTTTCTAATATGTTGCCAATTCCGTGAAGATTTAATACATTGGTCATCAGAATAATCCTATTAATTATTTAGAATCAGGAAATATTTATACATTTCTATTTTTGTAAAGCTACGTATACTATTATATAGCACGGAAATTAACTGTAGAGAGTTTAATTAAGAGAGAAAATAATATATTTTCCATTGGCTCCGCTCAGGATTCATGAACTTTTTTTCTTGTTGAAGGCATTCACGAGCTTACGATAATTTTTCTGGTACCGCTCATTGATTGTACAGATACATCCTCTACGTAGTGAAAATGGACCACGTAAAATCAATAAAAAAAAGATACGTATATATAAGGAAACATATAGATATAGATACATCCTTTATATAGTGAAACAAGGATCACGTAAAATCAGTAAAAAGATACGTATATATAAGGAAGTATATATATTGATTATATAGAAACGAAAATACACCTTTTTGTTCGACACGGATATATAAAAATATACGTATAGTCCTGTATTTTTTTGTAGTTAGTGAAAAACGATCAAAACAATGTCTAGTGTATTAAAAAATAAATCATCACAATGCTTCCGCACAATCAAAAGCATTTGCATTGTGTTATTAGTATTATCGATTACTCGTGTAGCTGTTTATGCAGATGCAGATTATGGAGAAGCTCTCACAAAGAGTCTTTTGTAATTTGAAGCTCAGCGCTCTGGAACATTGCCATCAAACCAAAGAGTTAATTGGAGAGGAGATTCTGCACTCAGAGATGGTTCTGATGCTCATGTAATTTAAAACCTAAATCATTCTCTTTTCCATTGTTTTATGGTAATGAGTATTTATTAATCGAAATAAGTTATTGCTAATTAATCGTAAATATAGATTGATCTCACCGGAGGTTATTATGATGCCGGAGACAATATGAAGTTTGGATTTCCGATGGCATTCACTACGACGATGCTAGCTTGGAGCAGCGTAGAGATGGCATCACAGCTCAAGGCCCGCGAGGAGCACGAAAACGCCCTAGCGGCTCTCAAATGGGCCACTGACTATCTTATCAAAGCCCATCCAGAGTCCAATGTCCTGTATGGACAAGTGGGCGATGGTGACTCGGACCACGCGTGTTGGATGAGACCCGAAGATATGACCACTCCACGTCCTTCATACCGCATTGATGCTCAGCATCCAGGTGCTGACTTGGCAGGTGAGACAGCTGCAGCGATGGCTGCAGCTTCTCTAGCATTTGCGCCCTCTGATGCAGCCTATGCCAAAAAACTCATTGATCACGCGAAAGATCTATTTGAATTTGGTAAAGACCACCCAGGGGTCTATCATTACTCCATTCCTAACGCGGCTGGCTTTTACCCGAGCAGTGGTTATGAAGACGAGTTGTTGTGGGCTGCGGCTTGGCTTCACCGGGCCACTGGAGACCAGGCTTATCTCGATTATCTAACACAAGCTTCTAATAGCGGAGGTGCAAGGTTTGTTTTCTCATGGGACGATAAGTTCTTGGGGGCACAAGTCTTGGCAGCCAAGGTAGGTTGATATGTATTCTATTCTCTAAGGAGATCATACCCTAAATTAAAATAACAAGAAATAAACATTTAACACTAAGGTTTTCGTAAATGTTAGCTTGTGTTTGAAGGGAAAGTGAAGAATGAAGGGAAGATCGCAGAGTACAAAACTATGGCGGAGCAGTTTATCTGCAATTGTGCTCAAAAAGGTTCTAATAACGTTAAGAAGACTCCGGGAGGTTTGCTTTGGTTCTTGCCGTGGGACAACCTCCAATACACAGCTACTGCTTCTTTCGTCTTGTCTACTTATGGTAAATACCTTGAGGCTGCACAAGCCTCGGTCCAGTGCCCCAATGGTGCCCTTAAAGCTTTTGATCTTCTCGACCTCGCTCGAGCTCAGGTTTGGCGGGCATTCAGATAGTCCGTTTTCTCATATTAGTTTTTAGGTTTACGAGAATTTATGACCGGGTTAGAAGACTATATTGATTCAATCTGTTCAATTTATTTTTTCATATGATGATAAGCACATTGTTTATGTTACCAGGTAAACTACATACTTGGGTCAAACCCGAAGAACATGAGCTACATGGTTGGATTCGGGACCAATTATCCTAAGAGACCACACCATAGAGGAGCCTCTATAGTGTCAATCAAGAAAAATCCTAAACCGATGACATGCAATGAAGGGTTTGAAGCTTGGTACAACAATCCTGAACCGAACCCTAATGTTTTGTTTGGAGCAATTGTAGGTGGACCGGACGAGAACGATGCTTACCAAGATGAACGGTCTGATTTTCAGCACGACGAGCCCGACACCGTCACCGTTGCTCCTTTAATTGGTGTTTTGGCTGCCATTGCATGATCTTAACTAAATTACACATCTCTGTATTTGTTTCTTATATTTACTGTCTTTGGACCTCATTTTTCCAAGAGGCTCTAGCTTGCGACTAATTAATTATTTTTTGGTATGTGTGGAAATGAAATCAAAATTCAATTTGTTATGATATCTTGATTTTGAGACATAATGAGACTTTGAGTTATATGCAGAGAGAAAACATATTGACCAATACTGTCAGACCAAATTTGAGTCCCTACGTACACGGCTACACAAACCAACAAAATGTATAATACGTACATCTATCTACTTTTGAAAGAGAATGCAAACAATTTTTTCTAATAGATAATCATGTTTTATTAAAATCGTAGGACATTTATCGTAAAATATTATTTCACATTTTTCTCATTATTAGATCAGTTATATATACATAATTTAATTATCTATTGCTTTGTTTTCAAGTGTTCTATTCATATTTAGCCTTTTGTACATTCAATCTAGGTTTCTTTTCTTGTTTATTTTTGTTGCATTTTAATATTTTATACGACTTAGAATTGAAAGAAAGCATTCCCTATTCCAAATATTTGACAAGATAAACTATAAATACCATATCTTAAAAAAATTATGGTAAGATTGCTCGAAGAACTTACAAACGGCTATATTCTGATCTTTTAGATAGAATATCGTGTGGAAGAAGAACCTTTGTTATCATATACAAAGACGTATCTGATAAATTAAAGGAAATAATTGTGATAAAAAGAAGTGTATTCTATTTTGTCTTTAGCTCTCATTGAGCGTAAAATTGGGTTCCATTGTGAAGATAAGTATTTTGTCCTTTTATAGAACTTAATCTTTACGTTGGTTTGTTGCTGCACATGATCCACATATTTCTCTTTGATTTATCCTCTCCTCGTAACGTGTCCCAGATATGGGGGAGATCAAAGACCAAGTTCTGTAAGATGTTCTTAGACTCTTGGTCAAAGACGATCTTATATTGACTTAGTGAATTGCACCAAAACATGGGGTTTATGGCTAAATCCAATACCAACACCAAGGATTCCATCTTATAGATTCTCTATAAATAGTTGAATACATACACACGCATAAATATGTCAACACAAGTAAAAAAATTATCAGAAAACGATGTCTCAATTGAAAAACGAATCTTCACAATGCTTATGGACAAGTATTTGCATAGTGTGGTTATTAACGTCGAAGGCTCGTGGAGCTGTCGCCGCTACAAATTATGGAGAAGCTCTCACAAAGAGTCTTTTGTATTTCGAAGCCCAACGCTCTGGAAAATTACCGTGGAACCAAAGAGTTAACTGGAGAGGAGATTCTGCACTTAGAGACGGTTCTGATAATCATGTAATTTAAACTCATTTCTCTTTCTTTCCTTTTTTTTTCCCCATCAAGGTGAGAATTATAATTATTTCTATCGTATTACAATAAGTAAAATATGTCCGAATTGTTTTAAAAATATATAATATAGGTTGATCTCACCGGAGGGTACTATGATGCCGGAGACAACATGAAGTTCGGATTTCCTTTGGCTTTCATGACGACAATGCTAGCTTGGAGCAGTATAGAGATGGCATCACAGCTTAAGGCCCATAAGGAGGACGAAAACGTCCTTGCGGCTCTCAAATGGGCTACTGACTATCTCATCAAAGCCCATCCCGAGGCCAACGTTCTTTACGGACAAGTCGGTGACGGAAAATCGGACCACGACTGCTGGATAAGACCCGAGGATATGACCACTCCGCGTCCTTCATACCGCATTGATGCTCAGTATCCAGGTGCTGACCTGGCAGGCGAGACAGCTGCAGCGATGGCTGCAGCTTCTTTAGCCTTTGCACCATCAAATGCAACCTATGCAAAGATACTCATTGGTCACGCAAAAGATCTATATGAATTCGCCAAGGCTCATCCAGGCTTTTACCACAGCTCCATTCCTAACGCGAGTGATTTCTACGCGAGCAGTGGATACGAAGATGAGTTATTGTGGGCCGCGGCTTGGCTTCACCGTGCCACTAACGACCAGACTTATCTCGATTATCTAACACAAGCATCTGATATCGGAGGTTCCAGGAATGTTTTATCGTGGGATAATAAGTTCTTGGGCGCACAAGTCTTAGTGGCCAGGGTAGGTCTGTCTCTATTTTCACTAACTTATGCGACAAGAAACAAAATAAAAACTTATATTGTGCAAATAATGCAGCTTGCACTTGAAGGAAAAGTAAAGAGCAATGAGAAGATGGAAGAGTACAAGAGTAAGGCGGAGCAGTTTATATGCAACTGTGCTCAGAAGGCCGGCTCAAACAACGTAAAGAAAACGCCGGGAGGCTTGCTTTGGTTCTTGCCGTGGAACAACCTCCAATACACCACCGCCACTTCCTTTGTCCTTTATGTCTATTCTAAATATCTTGAAGCCGTCAACGCCTCCATCAAATGTCCCGAGGGAGATCTTCAAGCTTCTGATCTTCTCAACCTCACTCGTGCCCAGGTAGCTAAGACCTAATTAACATATGGTTCCAACCACAAAACATTAATTTTCCTTTCAAAAATAAAAGATATAAACTTTGCTTAGATAATCATTATTATGATTGATTGTTCATCAACTTCTATCTCAGATATAACCAGCATATATACATGAAATAACCATAAAGCTTTTTGTATACTAGCTAAGATTATATTCTTTTTATTTATGCATGCTTAAAAATTTACAAGTGTTATCTATATGTGTAGGTAGACTACATACTTGGGTCAAACCCGAAGAACATGAGCTACATGGTTGGATTCGGGACCAATTATCCTAAGAGACCACACCATAGAGGAGCCTCTATAGTGTCGATCAACGAGAACAGAACTAGTATGAATTGCAGTGAAGGATTCAACCAATGGTATCACAATCCTGCACCGAACCCTAACGTACTAACCGGAGCAATCGTGGGAGGACCCGACGAGAACGATGCTTATGGAGATGAGAGGACTGATTTCAACCACAGTGAGCCTGCTCCCGCCACCGTTGCTCCATTTGTTGGCGTTTTGGCCGCCATTGCTTGATCTTTCTCTCTCTCTCTCTCTCTCTCTCTCTCTCTCTCTCTCTTTTTCGTAAACTTATTTCATTATTAATTTATAACTTCGAAAGGTCTTAAGACTCTTAACTGTAAATTTTGTCTTCAATACACAATAAATTTGATATAATTCAAAAAAATAAATAAGAAAAATGTATTAATCGCAAAACTAGTACGAAAAACAAAATCTCCGATTCAAATAAATGTAAAAGAAGGAACTGTAAATATTCAAAAAAAAAACTTGGTTCCTTTAATCTCCTCTACAAAAGTGTTTCATTCACACTCAAGTCTCAACATTTACAGCACAAAAGAATTTGTACATTATCAGAAATTCATACTACTGAGAGGCTATAAGTCGATTCTCTAACGTTGTTGCATTGATCAATCAATCAATCCCCAATGTCGAAAATGGCTCAATAGCTCCCTGAGACGTCCCCCCCCAAAAAAAAAAAAAAAATTAGAATAGACCCAATATTTCACTAAACAAAATTTGCATTTCAAGTACTGTTTTTGGTTACTTACAGAGCAATCATCGTGAACACGCCAAATTGTTTCCCCAAGAAGGTTTGCTACTGAGAGAACTGTAAGCTGAGGGAAATAGTTCTGCTCTGATAATGGAATCGTGTTGGTTATGATCACCTCTTGAAACAGACCGCTCGATAGTCTACTGATTGCAGGAGGGCTGTTTCCATATATATATAGACACAAATACATGTCAGAGCTTCTCTCTTTACATTTCCAACACGTAAGAAAATACTTCAAAGACTTACCTAAAAACGGCATGAGTGGTACATGCGTATACTTCTCTTGCCCCCTCTTGGTGTAACAGAGCCGCACCTTTGCTTATGGTTCCTAATTTGTTATAGCATAAGAATCTAAGAAACAATGAAGAGTGTTTATGGATAAGTATACACAGATAGAGAAGTATAACTCACCTGCTGTGTCAATCATGTCATCCACCATTATAGCCACTTTCCCTTTAACATCCCCAATTAGGTTCATCACCTACATAATATGGATCAAGGAATGTCAAAGCCAGTCTTGGTTAAAATGTATTTGCCAATGGGTTTTTACCTCTGCAACATTGTGCCCATGTCGTCTTTTATCAACTATTGCTAAAGGAGCATCAGAAAGCTTCTTGGCAAAAGCGCGAGCCCTTGCAACTCCACCAACATCAGGTGATACTACCACCAAATCACCAGAGGATATGGCTTTGCTTGCCAGGTAATCAAGTATCACAGGCTGTTTATGAATATTATTAAGCAGCAAGAAAGAAAAAGGAACCATGAGCAATTCCATTTACTCAAGAGGAAATCAGTGGCTCTGAATCATTCATTTCAAGATAGGAACCTTTAATTACCTGGCCGTAAACATGATCGACTGGAATATCAAAGTAGCCCATAGACTGTCCAGAGTGAAGGTCACAGGCAAGGACACGGTCTGCACCAGACTCTGTTATCAAATTGGCGACAAGCTTGGCAGCAATAGATTCACGTCCTTGAGTCTGCAAGAATTTATAGAACAAAAGTATAAACTTTGGAAACAGACAGTTATGCATGTAATGCTTTGACAGAAGAGTGACTCCAAGACAGATTCTACAGTTTCGAGAAAAGGACTTGCCTTTCTATCAGCTCGAGCATAACCAAAGTAAGGAATCACAGCCGTAATGGTTTTGGCCGATGCTCTCCGACAAGCATCAATCATAACGAGCAGTTCCATAAGGTTTTCATTCGCAGGTGGGCATGTAGGCTGTACAAGGAACACATCGCATCCCCTTACACTCTCTTGCAGCTGAACATAGATCTCACCATCAGCAAACCGTTTAATCTTGATTTTCCCAAGCTCCAGACCCAAATAGCAAGAAATCTCCTGTTTCAGAGATGAGCGAACGACAAGATCCATGAATTCACAAGAAATCGGTTTCTCTTTCTAATCGTTTAATAAGCAATTGAACATATATCCAGTTTCGAGCTACTAGTTCATGCACTTGAACAACAATCCGAAGTAGAAATCAGTTTATTCCCAGTTGTTCATGAAGTAGAAGAACGAAATTCCAGTTGAAGCAAATTAAGAAAGAACCTGAGCTAAGGCAGGATTAGCAGTGCCAGAAAATATACGAAGTCGTGTATTGTTCTTGTAAATCGCATCTTCCAAACGTGTCCCGGAAAGAAGAGCACTTGCGGGAATGGTGTCTCCTGAAAGCAGATGGAAACCGGCGGAGTTTCCGCCGTCGAACTTGTACGGATCCGCCGCGTTACACCTCTGTATTTACACAACCAATAGAAAGAACAAGATTCATTAAACAACTGATACCAGGTAGAAGGATAGCGACCGAGAGAGAGAGGAATAGGAGACTTACAACAGGAAATCGAACCGAAGAAGGTTGACGAATCAGAGAAGAAGAGCGCCGGAGATTAAGCGCCGGCAAAAGCGATGGTTGAACAACAAGAGACGCCATTTTTGTTTTCGCCTGAAATCGATTCACACGGAGAATTACGAGAAATGGATCCGGAGAGATTTTAGGGTTTTTGAAAAGCTCAAGAACAGTAAAAGGAGTCTACTTCTAACTCGCCCGCGAGATTACGAAAACGACGACTAAAATTCACATCGGAGTACTCTGCTTCGTTATATAGTCAAAATCTCATTTTATGGGGTCAACCGTCAAAGTTTTAACTTTTAACTAACCGTAACTGAAAAACTAACCGTCATGATATCTCTATAGCCAAAACAGTCAGGATCCGAAACTGATATTGAATCTTGATATCTCTCATTGCTAGAACAGAATCATCACAGAAAAAAACTGATATTTGAAAGATGATAAATGCAAGAAAAGGTTCCCAATATTACAACGTTTGTTATAGCTCGAAAGCAAGAAAAATCCGATGGATTTCGGTTTATTTTTCAGAAGATATTTGGAGCAAAATCTCAACATTCATTTACAGTAGGATAGATGGAGCTCGTGTTGTTAGTTTTTCTTAGGATGTAACTCCATAAGGAAGCAATGCAGCAGCCACGACCCTTCCTTCTTCATTCAGAATGTTGTAAGTTGATGCAGCATTTCTCTGATTCAAGTAGTTGATACAAGCGCATAAGAAAGAAATTATGAACCCACAAAAAAAAAGCGAGAAGCTTGGTAATGGATAAAAGAAAGACATACAGAATCAACAGTTTCTAGCTTCATGCCAATGGACTTCACAAACTCACGGACCTCGGGAGTTACCGGGTGAATGTTTCTTCCACAACCAACAATTAAAAGCTCTGAAGGGATAACACACAGTGAGGTACTACTCCATATGTATCATTTAGTTTCTTGTTGTAAGTTTGCAATTTTGATTGTGCAAAAGACCACCAAACAAATTTCTTTGCTATATAGACAAGGGGTTGAAGAGTATTTGATATATTACCTGGAATCGGTCGAACTGTCTGGAAGATAGACAAGCTGCATCCATGGAAATACAAATGTACAAAACGTTTAGCTACTGCTTATTGACAGCATTTATTCTTAAACTCGATAAGACAAAGAGCATAAGAGCAAAGCAGCAGAGAACACCTAACATGATTAATCAAAGACATCAAAAGGACAAAGCTTTCAAATCCTCTGACGATAATGAAATTGAAACCTTCAACTAATCTATTGTGAAAAGCACATGACTTTGACTCTCAAACAGTCATACAAGATCGGCATTAATCCACATTAGGTTGTGACAGAACATTGGTTAGAATCTAGGACTGACAAACAATGACTGATAATAACACTCAAGGAAGTATCTGACGCAGCTTAAAGTTTCAAGCTTTTTGTTCTTGCTCAAGAAGAACTTTTTTTGCTTAATTAGCGAAGAGAAGAGAAGAGCGAGGATTTACCTATCAGTGGTGATCTCTGAGAATTTACGAGGGCTCCATGACATCAGCAAATTCCCAACGCAGAGCAAGCTACCTTCGTATTTGACCCCATTCACCGTGAAACTCGTCTCATTAAATCTGCAGAAACCACCACCACAGATTATACATTTCCATATCCAAAACCCTATATAAATCAAACCCAGAAACGATCTGGAATTTTAAAATCGATGAAGAACAACAAGACATGTTCGAATCTGGATATATTACTCTTGGAAGCGGAGCTGGTCTTCGGGAACATTGTCAATGAGATTGATCTGATCATAGAGAGAGAAAGCTCGTCTCAGAGATGGCAAAACAGGACTAGAATGTTTCGGAACTTCATTTCTCATGCTTTGAATCAGTTTCGGCAAAGTCGCCATAGATTTCAGCCTCGTCGCCATCTTCGCGTAATCCTCCAACCTCTCGGAGCTTCACTGTCCTGAATCCTGATGGACGATTTTCGCAGCCGTCGAAACATTTAACCAACCCGGTTAAGTTGTTTTACTCTACCATCATCGGTTACTGATATTTAATTGCCAAAACCAATAGCGAACCAAATCATTCATACTCGTTGACTTAGTACTACACGTAAATCCATATTAAGTTGACGACAAGAACCAGAGAAACTCCGAAACTGTATGTATATATTTTTTCGTAGGAAACATAACTTTAAACAAATAAAACATTGTGGAGCCAAAAATACATAAACTTGTTTGCGTTCTCCACTTCCTTATTACAAAGGATCAAACTCAAAAACAATTTGAGAATGTACTTCAGTTGTGTCCTCAATCAAAACGACGATTTTTATGGAGAATAGAAGGAAGGAGCTGGCAAGAAAGGAAATGGAGCAGCAGAAGCATAAGCCACAGGAGGTTGAGCAGAACGTTTCTTTCGCCTTTGACTTTTTCCATCATCGGATGCAGAAATTGATAAACCGGCTACTTCTAGGACTGGTTGCTGGTTATCATTAGAGACACGGTGTAGAAGGAGGCCGGACATGAAAACAGGAAGGAAGAGAAGACTGGCATGGAACATCTTCCTTGCTTTTTGCATTGTTCGGTCTCGGTAAAAGGAAAACGCTGTAGCAGCAATTGCTAGTGTGAGAAGTGTTGATTCGACGCAAAACCAACTCGATGTTAATCCCCCTGACACAAAAAGAAAAAAATTGAAGGAACAGCAAATATCAGAAACAGACGTCTATGTCTAGGAACTAATATGTAGATGAATCCACAAGGAGAAAAGACTCACAGTCATAGGCGATGAACCCGAGAGGGACCATGTAAAAGCAGTTCCTAAGAGCCACTGCTGCTATTCTCTTCCCTGAAGGATCAAAGAGAGACAGCATCTTGTATCTGAAAACAACGGAATAACGCACAACGTCAGACCTTGACTGCTGCTGTGTTCGCGAATGTTAGATTCTAGCGGAAATAATTCATTATCTAGCCACCACAAAATTGACTGCTGTGACACTTTATACTTTCTAAGCTGAGCCGCTCTTCCAAGATTTCTATTATCTTAGCACTATTTAGGGATCTGAGATCATTCAGCGGAACTGAACACTTTCAATATCAAAACTACATGGGAAGGAGACAATCTAATCTCATATGAAACCATATGGTCTTACCCTCCAGCTGCATAATCATTGCGGCAGAGGTATGCAAGGGCCATAAAATGAGGAATCTGCCAAAAATAAAGAGCAGCTGGAAGAATCATCGAATTGAATGAGATCTGACCAGAAGCTGCAGCCCACCTACAAAATAAATAAAAAACCAAAGTTAAGACGCATGAAGTTGAAAACCACTATGCAAGCCTTGCAAAACAGAAAATAAATCTGCTAAAATTCAGCCATAGACACTTAAACGCAGGAAAAAGCAGAGACGAACTAAGTGAAATAAAGAGGAAAGGAAAAGAATTTACCCAAGCAAGGGTGGAATGGCACCAACAACAGCTCCAACCCATGTGTTGATAGGGTGAAGTTGTTTCAAGGGAGTATAAACAAATGCATAAAGGGCAAGATTGGCAGATGCAAGTCCAGCAGCCATCATATTAGTCTGCAATAACCTTGTCGTGGAAGCAAAAGATTAGATTCACAATCTCTCACACATAACTGAGACAAAATCACATAGAAACAAGCAGTCACCTTGCTAGCCAACAAACAAGCACCAGAAGCACCGGCAATAGTAGCCCACGCAACAGCATGTGGAACACTGATGCGTCCTGAAGGCAATGGCCTTTGCATCGTTCTCTTCATCTTAGCATCATTGCTTATCTCAAAAATCTAATACAACAGAAAACAAGCAAGCAAGAATGATCAACTACATGAACACAACGAAGGATTCAAAAATTTATAAGATTTCCCCATTTCAACGGCTTAGTAGAGATCAGGCACTATCAAAACTCCAAAATGAGATTAAAAATTTCTGTTATTTAGAGGATAACTCAAGAGAAAGGAGAGAGAGATGAAACCTGATTCAAGGAATTAGCAGATGCAGCAATCATCATGGTGCCTGCACAAGTGTAACAAAGTCCCGGGAAGCTAATTGCAGCGTTTCCCGTACCCAGAATATATCCAGTGCCAGAAGTCGCGACCACGAGCATACTGCAAAGGTCAAACGAATGAATATAGCACGAAAGATTTGAATCCAATTTTCGAAATTTCCATGAGAAACTAAAGGTTAAGACATACCTGAGTCGAGCTTTGGAAAGCTCCCAGTAGCAACGAGCGTAGTGGTGCCCTAATCCAGCCGCAGCCGCAACTCTCGAAGAAATCTCACCGGCGGTAGATGTGGCGGCGACAGTACCTGATGCAAAAACTCGATTCGCATCGGATCTGTCCCCAGAAATCGCTAGCTTAGCAGTTGACTCCGACGAGAGCGGTGGCTGGGATAAACTGTTGACGGCACATAATTCGCGGGACCAAGGAATCAGTCTACGGTTTGGCAACGAAGAAGAAGAAGAAGACGACACAGAGATCCTCGAGGAGAAACAAAACACTGCAGATCTTCGCCACATCGTATGAACAAACGTTATGTAAATCACTACGCGTTGAGGGAGATCGAGAGATAGTTCTTCATCATCTGTGCCCAGAGATTGATTGCTTTCAGATAACCGAGTCACGGTGACTCTTCTCGTTTTGCAAAGAAATGAAAATTGACGGGCGTTTTTAAATAATTGATATTGTTTTAGGGTTAGTCAAATATTATCTGAGAATTTTGGGGGCACTTTTATAATTAAATTAAAGTATCAACTAATGGACCATTGTTGGTTCACTTGTTCGTCTTTGACCTTGAACTCACTATTGAAGAAGCAACAAAACTGTGTAATAATAATATCAAAACTGGTGAAAAATCCATAAACAAATGACTCGTTAACGAAATCTTAAACAAGATGATGCTCATTATTCATCAATGAGAGAATTCAACATCTGTCTGAACTCAGGAATCTTTTTCGCTTCCACCGCCATCACTAGACCCATCAGCTGATAATTCTTCATCTGCAAGAACCGCCATTAAAACCAGAGATTTAAAGATCAGAAACAATCGAAATCAAAACCATGTGTATAGTCTGTAGAGAGAGAAACTTACTTCTTGAGAAGTCACGAGCTGTGAGCGCATAGGGAATGTGAATGACCAAGAGCTAAGCTGCAAATACATTTTTTCAAACAAATTCTCAGAGAGATTTTCTTTCTTTTCTCGCAGAGCAAGTCGATAAGTAATGTGAGAACAAGTTACCTCAAGAAAAAGTTCATCTTCAGGCTTAAGGAAAATTGTTTCCTCATTCTCTTCTTCACCATGGCGAGGTTTTTTCTGCTTAGGATTCTTCAGCTACATAACCAAGAATCGGTATCACATTGTGAGAGGTTTCGAGAACCAAACAAAACAAATTCTTACGGTAACACAAAATTACCTTGTAAATCTTGGTGACTAGAATATATGACTTGAAGCGGAATGAGCTTCGAAGCTCCTCTGTAGGCTATACAAAACAGAAAAACTTAAGAAAGTGTTAAATCTGAATTGCTCGTAAGAAGTTATCGAAGAGTTTATTTAGAAGATCGAAACCTCGTCTTCAGTGGCCCATAATACTTCATCGAACAATCCATCATACAGTGGCGGAAGAAGTTGTGGAGGAAGATTCATCACCCTTTGAGATACCAATAAACCAACATCTTGTGCCTTTTTCTCCAGTAGCAGCTCTAGATCACTCGATACATTCTTCTCTGAACAGACTTTAAGAAGAAACTCTTTTAGCTCTCTAAAGCATTTACTGTCCTTATATCTTGCCAAGTTAAGAGCAGAGACCACAGCAAATACAGCCTCGTCCTCATCATCTGCTACTTTCACCACGGTTCCTACTGTGGTCTGTTCCAGTATCAAATCAACAAAACTGCTCAAATCCCACTCCTTGTCATCGAGATAGTTTTGAAGGAGGATCTTGACTCCGTTAAAGTCTGTAGTTTTAGGATCAAAGAACTCAAAGTCTGCTTGGACAGCTCCCTTCAAATATCAATCATTGAATAAGATAAATAAGGGATCTTCCCATCTACAGAAAAAAAATCAACAGAAGAGTAAATAATCCCTTACCTGAGAGTCTTCTTCATCAGAGGAGTCTGAAAATTGTTCCTTTTTCCCTTTTCTAGATAAATTTGGGAGCTTTTCATCTATAAGAATAGAATGATAAGTCATTACAATGTTTCTGAATCGAAATTCTCAATCTAAGGTTTACTCACCAAAAGACATCTCCTGGCTGTCTTCAGGATGAGGCAATTTACGCCTAGACGTTGAAGCTAAAGCAAGTGAACGCATGAATGGTGAAAATGCCAAAGGTTTATGCTTTGACAATCTCCTTCCTGATGGTCTCCGAGGCATCTGTCCAAAATTCACAAAGCTAACAAACTTTCAGACTAATTCACTACAACCTATGATAAACGCTCATAAAAATCTGTCTTTCTCTACGAATTTAGCTCAAGGAACTACAGTTTTTGGAAAGTCACTAAGAGAGACGACGAGAGAAGAGCCTACTAAAAAACGGGTAATAATACAATTAAGGCCCTCAAATGAGCTCCCATAATCAGAAAAGGAAACCGGACATGGAAACGCTTACCGATATAGCAGCGAGCAGAAGCTAAAATCCCCACAAATTTCACCCTTCTGATCAGACACGAACACGACAGAAGCTCTCTGTTTGTCTCTGAAAACCCAAAACCTTAACACGACTGTTCGACTTCGACCTATGAGAATGGGGAGAAGCGAACGGTGTCGTTTATGCAAAATAAAACCCTAAGGTTAAACGTCGTCGACAATTAAAAAAATAGCATGGTTGAAACGACGACGTTGTTTGCCTCTTCCCTTAAACGACGTTGTGAACGTTTGGGTTGGGATGATACATGGTTAGAAGTTAGAACATCAACAGAGTTTTTTAGAAAAAAACTTCTCAAATGGATTTACAATGGACCCTAGGCCTGTGTAGAGCTCTCTACAATCTCAACCATAGCTTGAAAATGTCGAATTTTGGCCTACTTATATTGCTTATCTGAATAAAACAAGAGGGATACAAAAGCTATTGTTATAAGAGTGGGTCCATAATATATAGGCACAAAATGCCAGAGCAGAGGAACAAAATAGTGTAAAATTCAACATCCCAACAAGGTTTGTGCTCAGATGCAACCATTGAAAACGATCATCCAGCTAAAAATAGTTTTAGCTTTGTGAAATATAGAATATATGAAAAGTAAGTATCTTCAAGACATATGATGAAACTGTTGCTTTATTTATGGTACAAGTACAACTATAATCGTATACAACTCTGTAATATATAATTACAGTCCAAATAAATCGAATCAAAGAATCATATAATATCCCCCTCACTATTCTACTTCCCACGTATTTCGTAAAACATGTAAAATTAACCTCAGTCGAAAAGAAAATAACGAATATATATACCCCTCCCAAAAGAAGAAGAAAAAATGATCAGACTAAAACGAACTAAAAGAATATTGCACGAACCACCATGAAATCGCCTTCCTCCTATCAATAAACCTCTCCGGTGATCGGAACAAAAATTGGCAGTCTCTTCACCTTCCGAGCCGCCAACAATGTGAAATGACCAAAATGCCCTTCAATGCTTAAGCCTCTGAGTGTTGTGGTTGTTGTTGTCTATCTGAGCACATACATTCTGGAACAGGATGTTTGGTAACATCTTTACCGGCTTTGCTCATTCTCAGTTCAGGCTGTCCTAAAGATTCTCGATGAAGATCTTTCACAATCCTGTTGAAATCCGATTCAGGAAGCGAAGAATTCATGAAATAAGGAAGCATTTGTCTCTTGTTAGGAGTTATGTATTTCTTGTGACCAGCGTAAGCTCGTTGCCCTTGTAACGCGTGTCCCATGTTTCCTCCATGAGACGGAATGAAAACATCGCTCTTTTCGCAGACAATGTAGTCGATCGCAGCCATAACCGAAGCTTTCTTGGCAAATGGTTCAAGCTCTCCTGGTAAAGCAAGATCGTGCTTGTTGTAGAAATGAGGGAACTCTTTGGTTAATGGCTCCAAAACCTCTTTGCCACCTAGAGGCTCTCCTCCTGCCCAATAGATTCTCGCATCTTTTGGGGCTTCTAAAGCTTTAAGCAGCCTGTGGAATCGCAACAAAATGTTAATAAATCCGAGCAAAAAAATACACTGAACCATAACTAACAAAAGGAATTGTGGATTTAGTTGTTGTTATACCTTGTGACTTCTAGAGCGGTCAAGGGGCATAAACCGGCGAGTTTTCTCTGGTTATAAGTCATGTTTGATCTACCGGTTAGAAGCTCCGGGTGGCGTTCTCTTTCGCTGTTGACAATTTCGTCGTACTCAGGAGTTAAACCGGGAAGACAACCGGTTCTAACCCAAACATCTTTCTCCATTCTAAGATGAAGCGAGAGATACTGTCCTTCGTTACGCATTCTTGAAGCTAGTTTGTTACCGAGTTCTAGAATCTTCGGTGAAAATCTCAGCGCTTGGAAAGCTACCTGCAAGAAAAATGCAAATGTTAAAAGCTGAGCTCACAAGATTAACTTTGGAGGAGTTGTTCAAATAGCGAAGAAAATACATTACCTTGCATCGGAGTCTCTGAAGATCAGAAGGAAGGTCCTTGGAGAGTCGTGAATCTAGTCCACGGAGAAGCAAAACCCTTTCTCTGTTAATCTGCAAAAACAGAGGAAAGAAACACTATTAGCCTCAGTGATTCATAGAGAGGACAAGAACCAATCAAAGGTAGCTGAATCATACTCGCTTGAGATAATGAGCACGAATCCATTGAGGAGAAGCGTGAAGTGGAGTCCTTTTCTCTTCGACAGGTCTCGTCATTACATGTGTTGAAGGCAAAGACGAAACTATATGAACATCATCCGCTAAAACACTCTTGAAATGCTCCAAATCAAATATATCCGCGAACTCACTAAATTGCAACAAAACAAACAAACAAACAAAAACACAGTTAGATGTTTATTGCTAACATTCCTTTTATGCTCAAAATCAGAAATTTCGGAGTTTGGTACATACCTTTCGTCTCCCCAAATGACATTGACCTGCAAAACAGGAACAACAAGAGAAGCACCAAGGATCCTAGCGATCACAACTGCATCAACAATCTGATTACGTTGCTGATTCATCCCACCAGAGACAACAACGAGCAGATATTTCCATCTGTTCTTCAGTATCGACTTGCTATCTCTTCTATATTGCCCGCTAAATCCCAAACACGGCTTAAACCCCAACCCATCAGGCTGTTTCCAGAAATCACCTTCCGTCGACAAAGACTCGTTTTTTCCACCGTCTGGTTGAAGAATCGCATTCGAATTCGAATACCCAGGAGAAGATTTCGATCCAATGTCGTTCTTTTGGGCGAAACCCAGATTGGATTCGGCTCGATGTTCTCCGTCGAAGCTTAAAGGTTGATTCGTCGAACAAGGGTAACGAGAGAAAGGCAGAGAGATTGGGTCAACGTTGAAGCCGAGTTTCAACATACCAAAGAGTGAGACGAGAAAGAGGGTAAAGAACCAGATTCTAGGGTTTCTGTACGAGAAGCTGAATCTGTTGGTGCATCTCGAGGATTTCTTGGGAGAAACAAGAAGTGATTGTAAAGATGAAGAGGATAGAGAGTTTATTATCTGAGAAGGGACTGAGATGTACGAAACTTTCTTCTTGCTGCTGCTGCTGCTGTTACTATTTTTGGATAACGCCATTTCTGATGAAACAGAAGAAAGAAGAAATCTTGTGATTTTTGGTATTGGAAAGAAAGAAGCTTTTTTTAAGAAAGAATTGGCAATGTTTTCTTACAGCTTCGGCGATGAACAAGGGAGAGACAAGAAATAAAAACGTGTGAGAGAGAAAGAGAGAGATGGGCGGCGGGAACGCGAAGTCTGATCAAAGTCCTGCAACGCGTTCTTAAAGGAAGAGAGAGAGAAAGAGAAGGAAGAAGAGACCACATGGCAGTTTTTTTGAATTTGTTAAACAGTTTACTTAACTAAAGTTAATCCCTTATTTTGACTTGATTGTGTAAACTCTTTTCTTAACTTAAGTGATTACTAGGATTGTTAATGCGTTTTAACATACAGCTTAATGAAGTCGGGATTGGAAGTTTTTGGCGGGTCCATCTAAGGAATTTCACATGAAAAAAATTAGCTAATAAAATCTTAGGATAAACAACGTCTATATTTTAATGTGTTCTATATGTTTTTTTATAAACTTTATAAGATAGTGAATTAGAAATGATGATACAGCCATTATTCTTATGTTAACCAAGAAATTCAAGATCTTACAATCTTTGTTTTATTCAGACGAGTAAGGTCACCAATCACATCTTTTTATGTTTTTCTTTCGATATTTCTTAGTTGTTTTTTAATATTTAACACATGTTGACAAAATAATGATTATTAATCACGTAATGAAATTGGATATATTTTCAAAATTACAGCATTATGAAAAAAATTTCAAATACAACTTAATACTTAACAGTACTTTCAGGTCTTATTAAATTAGTTGATGATAGTTTTCATGATATGGTTTATGATAATGTATATGATACTCATAAGAAGGAAAGCTCCAAAACAACTTTCATTCTCATAACCCTTTTGTCAAAAACAAAAAAAAACTTTCATTCTCATGAATAATGAAAAATTTAACTCTAAAATGGACCAATTTATTAATGTAATAGAAACACAAAAATGATGTATATGCCTTGCGTAAACCAACAAAGATGACAGTGTCTTGTTGTGATACGGCCAGCTGTTTTACTTACATCATTCGGACTTCAAGAACCAAAATATTAATAAAGTTCACACACGACAGCCTGTGAAAACACCTCTCCTAATAAGCCTATACCGAAACAACAATTATTCAAAGTATTTTAATTTTCTATTAAAAAGAATAACATTTCTTTTGGCTCCTCGAATATACCTTAACAAAAATGATTGCTAATAATATAAAATTATCCAAGTTTGGTCAACAAATTATGTACAAGGGAGTTATAGATTTTAACTTAAGAATAAAGATTGATAATCGGACATGAAAATAAACTTTTTACACCACCTTGCAAAAGGTAAGCTAACTAATGTTCAAAATAAAAATAAAATAATGCACAATCACATGATATTAAGGTAATTTCTTATAAGTCGTTTTTATTTTTGTTTTTTGGAATTGTGTTTGTTGAATTACTTTGCAAGTTATATCCAACTTTTTATCCAAGTGGATGCCAGCTTACATCGGTATTCGCTTCCACGTCGGATCAGTTCGACGTCTTGTCATTTGCCACGTCTTCATCTACCTCACTGGCATTTCTTTAGACCAGTCAGTGTAGTCGAGATAGAGGAAAATTAAAGTATTAACTTTCAAGGTCTACTAATATTCTTATTAACCAAAAGAACATAGAGATTGATGCGAATTCTTTTATTTTATTTTACTGATTATTCGATAACAACAATACCATTAGGCTAGTAGTACTGAAATTAATTAAACGTTACATATGAGCATGTATCATAAAGTGACCGAGTACTTTTCCGTCGATATGAGCATAAATTTGTGAAACTACACGTGATGATTAATTACCACACGAGTCTTTTATTGTTTTTCTTTTCGAAAACTAAATTATACTATATGAATAGTTTTGGTGGGAGAACCAGTGCAAAAATAAACGGAACATGTAAAATGAATAGAACGAAAATTAGTGTGATTACTGCCTAAACATTTGATAATTTAAAATATAACGGAATAATATAATACAAACAACGACTAAGTGTGGTAGTTGCGTTTTACCGATTGTTTGACAACCTCAATTATTCTTTACACCCTTAAGGCATAAAGACTCGAGAGCTTTTTCAAAATATTCTAAGTTAGCGACTTGTGAACATCATATGATGTAGAAGTTTGAAGAGTTCAAAGATACAATAGTTTATTATATGTTTCGTGTGGACTTGATTATTCTGGTTTGGTTACTGAAAACGAAATCTAATTAATTATGTAGAGAATTGGGTATATATTTTGTTTGGCCTTGCTAATGCAAGAAGACCTGTCTGTCCTCAGCGTCTGTCTGACTATTTATTTAAGTTTATTTTTATCATCCCATTTAATTAATTAAGATATACACAAAAAGCCAATACGAGCCACACTTTGAGACGTTGACCAAGTTAAAAATATAGTACTAATGAAGATTATTTAATTATTTTCCCAAATGAAAATATTTGTTACCATACAATAATGAAAATATAAAGTTCTTACCAGCCGGTAAACCAAAAGAAATACTTACCAACTATAGCGATGATATAACTGAAGGGCGTTTAAATAAAACTCGTTTCTGATCTTTTAATTTCATGATTAGTCGAATGTTGATATATACATATTTATTTATTTATTTATATAAATACGAACTTGTACATATAAAGAAAATCAAACTTAATACTAGGTCGTTTACATAATTATATGATCAGTAATAATGAAAACAAAATATATATATATATATATATATATATATTTTCTGGTTTAGTGTTTATGTTTTTTTTTTCAACAAGTTTAGTGTTTACGTTGTGATGAGGAAGTTGACGAATTGTGAGTTCGTGCTTCTACGCCCTTATCCGAACGACAACACAACACAGGCAAGTAAGGGGCTCTTTGCCAAAAATAACTTGTTACATAATTTAAAATTAAAAAAAAATACAATAAACGGATAGGAATATAGGATAGATGAATGATCTTGTAAAAGAGATTTCGAAATATTTCGATTAAGTTTTATAAAATAAATGATTTCGTTAAATTAAGATAGTCCATCTTAAAATTTTGGATTTGCGAATGTCGAGTTTATCTTCTTTTTTATGAACAAAACATCGAGATTATCATCAATATTCTTTTATCTTTAAAGATTTACGAACAAAGTTTGAGTTTCTGATGATATATGAAGACCGGGCTGTTAAATATATTTAAAGAATATTACAATTATTTAATATTCGGTGGCATTCTTGGGAACCTTATAAGTATTAGAGTTTCAGAATGTCATCACGTTGCACCACTCTCTCAATTTACAACAAAACGCGAATCTTACTGTAAGATTATAAAGCATTATAAATGATTATATTAGTTGTTTAATATCGATTTCATGTGCTCCTGTGTTAGTAGATCTGACCCAGTGTTCCCCTTTAAATCGTTATCGACTTATCGTATTCAATAAATATGCACAGAGAAATTTATTTTATTTTATTTGTAAATTAAAACTGCTGCGTCAGTGGATATTGTTGTATTTCTTGAGATTCTACTAATCCCAAGTCCCATAGAAAGAATTCAATCATCGGGCAGGATAAAATATTCTCGAAGTATTTATGAATGGATTTATTCTTAGTTAACGTTATACAAGAATAAATAACTATAAAACTAGTTCAATATTTTAAAGAATTTCTTTCATCCCTTTTTGACGGCAATGAAGTTGGACCTACGTGCAACAAAACATACGAAAACAATATGGCATATTCTATGCAATTTAGCTGGAATATAACCATATGGAATAATTAACGCTCATTAGTTCCATATCATTTGCTTAATTAGTCAATTGTAGATATTTGCGGACATGACATACGTGTGCACACATACGCATCGCACCAAAGTGGATTGTAATCCAGATAATTCGGTTGTAAGTTTTCTACATGAAAATATGTTGAACGAAAAAAAAAAGATATCTTTTATAGCTGTGAATTCGTCCGATCAAAGATACATTGATTGAAACCAAACTTAAAACGAAACTGTAAGTTAACCACATGCAGTTATAAGATGATTATGATTCTGATTGATGTCGTTGTGAAATTGTGGAAATGTAAACATCTTTCATATACAAAGACCAACGTCACGGGGCAGTGAGACCATTTTGGATTACATGTAGTTGTGGAATAACATTTTTGTCTGTCATTAATTTATAAAATTGTAGAATTAACATCTCGCACTTCCACATAATTGTATGATTTAATTTTTTTTTTTTTATCAAGATCACTAAATGCGAATCACAAGTTGAAACATATATCTTGGAAACCAAAACATTAGTTAAACGAACCGAAATGCATGGGAACTAAACTCTCTCTTTTTTCTAAGGAATTTGGTAATTCATTTGTAATAATAAAATTTGTCTATGCTCCATATCATGCCGGAGTCCAATGATAACTAGCGAAACTAGTACAACGTCGCTGTCTTAACAGCATAATTGTATACCGGTTACAGAAAGTTCCATAGGTTTTAATTAGTTAACTATATATATATAGAGAACAGATGACTCGAAACCCTAATAATTCAGCAATAAGGACGAAGTTATCTTAATCATACTAATTTTCTATCATTTCTATATTCAATTGTCATTGTAAACATTTTAGTCAGCTTAACAACTCCTACAATCCATAATTAATAAAAATCTTGTTATTGACTTGGTGACAGAATTAGGTGTTATTTCTGCATATGATTAAAATTTCACAAGCCACCATTTAGTCTTCCGTCTTATAAATTTATTATATATTACCTCTGTTCTAAATTACTAGATGTTTCAGAATATTTCTTTTTCAAAAATTGGATGTTTTATATTTTTAGGTGTAATTATTACTTTTCTTATTTTACTCATACTATTTTTATTAGTTATAAATAAAAATTAAATAGCTAATAAAAACTAAAATTGTAATTAGTTTGAATATTATTTGTAATATGTGCAAAAAAAACAAAAATTCAAGAAAAATTTGAAATATAGTGAATATATAAAAAGGAATATTTTGTGATAGTCGACTCATTTGGGGTAATAAATATATGTTTTGTTTGGTCGAACAGGTACTAAATAATTCTATTGTTATACAATAGGGTTTAAAAATTTGATGAAAAATGAAGATGCGTACCGATGGCACTGATAGTTGGTA